GTTTAAATGATTTAATTTAAGGTTTTGATTTAAAAGAGTTAATCTATTATTATTATTAGTAGTATTAACATTATTACAATTGATAGAATTTACATATTATTTATGAGCACGAAATCTTGTGGTAAAAAATCAAATTTAATATTATTTATAAAAATCTAAACATATTTTTCTAATGTGTTTGAAATCGGTATGATTGCATAATTATCTTTGATTTATGTTATATAACTTCCAATAAAAACATTTTCTTAATTACTATAAGATCATATACAGGGTGTTCAGTAAGTCAGGAAACGGGTATCTATTGTTCTCATTGTTTGTAACAATGAGAACAATAGAAACCCGTTTCCTGACTTACTGAACACTCTGTATAGCTAGAGATATAATTCCAGTTGTATAATTAGTATGGGTCCTTTTTACTTTAATGATAGATTCTGGCAAGCCTAATTTCATGAATTCATGTGACCCTACAAATTTAACACGATTAAAAATAAAATTTAACACTTTTTGAGAGATCGTAAAACAATTGTACTATAGACCACGTAAAAGAGTACGATTTAATAATACGATATCTCGGCGCCAGGATTATATTTGGAATTGCATTAAAAACAGGATGTATTAGCTATGTTTACATCTTATTGTAACACGAATTATCATGCCTATTTTGTATTTTTGTGTTGTTTTTAAAACCTATCAATGTAAAAATATCCAACTAAATAAAAAATCTTCCCTATATCATAATCACTATTCATATTTTCACTTGAGTACTGAAGACTAAGGTCCCTTTTGCGTGGTTTTACCATTTAATATATTTATTTGTATTATTATCTGTATAATTATAATTATAACAATGAGTACACAACGTGGAAATAAGTGTATTTTTTTTAATTGCGGTAAAAACATATCTTAACTTCTTATTTTATCATTTTTAGTGATCTGAACTTCGGTTAAAATTGCTTTATTTGTTTGAATATTTTTTTCTAAAATATTTGTTTTTAAAATTTTTATATTTTAAATTATATTTTATATTTTAATTTATATATTATTAAAATTTGTTTTTTTTTTTAATATTTCATTGTATATTTGAAAAAATAAATTACTAATTTTATACATGAGAACTTTATAATATGTGTAATTATTAATAAATATCTTTTTTAGACTTGATTACTGGTAAGTTAAGAAATTAAACACCAAATAATATAAAAATCTTGACAGTGGACAAATCGGTAGCGAGAAATTGTTATGAATAAGTTAAGATTTTCAACAGAGAAAATTAAGAAAAAAAAATAATAGTCAAATTTAAATCAATATTAATAAAATAAAAAACACATGTTTTATCGAATTTGTATTTAAAACGAAAAGTTTCATTTAAATGAAATAGCAATCGCCTTTTAGTAATAACTNGAAATAGCAATTGCCTTTTAGTAATAACTGGTTCTTATCTTAATTTGCGCCAACGGTGTTAGCCGTACATCAATAATCGTGACTATTACTTGAATATCAGTAAACTAGACAGTTATTATTAAATATTTAATATTTCCGAGAGGATATATAGCGCTATCTTTACGTTTATAAATTAACAAAAAATCGGTTGCCAATTGTCTGAATGTCGTGGCCTATCTATGTGTATTTAATCTATGGTATAATATATCTTTATATAACGTAATCATGGTTAAATAATTTTATTAACCTATCAATTACCATATTACTTTAGTTGATAGTATGTACTCAACATGACTATCAAAAATATACGATTATTATCATTGACAATAAAATTTTCACGGATTAACTATTCCTCGCTACTAGTAAGTAATTTGTATGTTTTCAGATTTAGTATTTTTGTTCTTCATTGTTTGTTAAATTAATTATTATCAAACCGTGAAAACTGCTGTGATCTATTTAGCAAGTGTTGGTGAGTGTATTTTGTAAAGTGAATCTTATTGTTTTATCAATGATGTATTCTATTATTTGTTTTTGTAGGAATTTAAGGTTTAAGCACTGAAAAACAAGTGAAATGGCTTCTTTTGACGAAATAAAAAATTTATACCAAACTTTGAAAACGGAGTGGAATAAAAGAAAACCCGATTTTAAGCAATGCAATAGTATACTGTTACAAATCAAGGTAAAAAATTTTATTCATTATTAAATTAGTTACAACTAACTGACTTCACTAGAATTTAAACATTTTTGTTTCCGATATTTATATGAATCATTGTGGATAATATATTATCAAATAAAATATACAATCCTTACATTTAAAATTTTTTTTCTCCTAGGTTGGTATGACCAAACATACATTTTTGCCAATTAACAATGTTGAAGCTAGTCAAAAAGAATACTTAATTGCTAGTAAGTTAAATCTTAAAAGGTTAAAAGTCATTTATAAATATATTATTTATTTATATTACAGGAGATATTTTGGAAGTTGGTGTGCAATGCAGTATTGCCATGCATGATATCCCATCATTTGAACGTTATATGGCTCAATTAAAATGTTACTATTTGGATTATAGGTTTACTATTAAAATTATGGTTAGTAACTCATAAATTTTATCAATTTTAAAATATTTCTAGGGACAAATTACCCGAGTCTGCAAACCAATATCATTTATTAGGACTCAATTTGTTGTTCTTACTGTCACAAAATCGAGTTGCTGAATTTCATACAGAGTTAGAACTTTTGCCGTATGATATAGTTCAAACTAATCCCTATATAAGACATTCTGTTGCTCTTGAACAGTATTTAATGGAAGGCAGTTATAATAAAGTAATTAATTTTTTTAGTGTGCATTTTTTATATAGAATTAATCAAAATTTTGATGTTGAGATTTTAAATAAATACTTTATTTTTTTTTTCTAAAAGATATTTCAAGCAAAAACAAATGTACCATCAGATACTTACAATTTCTTCATGAACATACTATTGAATACATTACGTAATGAAATTGCTGAATGTTTACAAAAAGCATATAAAAAAGTGTCTTTCACTTCAGCAACTAAAATGCTTAACTTTAATAGTACTGCTGAAATAAATGATTTTGCGAATAAAGTAAAAAAATTTTGTTAAGTAAAAATTGTATTATATTGCTTATTAAATGTATCGTTAATATTTCTAGCGAAACTGGATTTTGGGTCAAGATGGTTACTATGTTTTTAATTTAGAAGAAGAAAAAAAAGCTGTAGAACCTTTACCTGCATTACAGATAGCAGATTATGCTTTACATTATGCTAAGGAGTTGGAAACTATTGTATAATAATTTATCTTTCGTTATAATTTATAAGAATTTTTATTTCTAAGTATAAGAAAAAATAAACAATTAAAATAGTATCAAGTGATTTTTTAATAATTAAACATTTTTTTTTTCTATGTAATAAAATATAAATGATAAGATAAATTAATATCAAGTATTTATATTTTATCCTAACTACATTACCAAAAATATAATGGTAAAATTCTATTGATTATATTAAAATTGTTGTAAAATGTACAGCAAGTAAATACTATAAAGAAAACTTTATCAAATTGTATTGTATTTTTTCCAAATTTCTAAAAATGTTGTAGCTTTTAATAATTGTTCTTCAATAGGTTCCTTTTGTCTTTTGCGCCATTTATTATGTTCTAAATCCATCATACCACCAATGATTTCCTAAAATTTAAAAATATTTCATTATGGATAATACTTATTGACAAATAAATTAGATAAGAAATTTTCATGTTAAATGTATATTTATATATTAATATTATTGTTATAAATTACTTCAGCAAAATTTTTAGGAAATATCTTTTCATCTTCTATTACATGAGCATAACCTCCTTGCATTCCAAAATCAACAGAAATGTAAGGCAGACCTTTAGGCACAGCTTTACGTACATCTTTCTTACTAAGATCTACAACTTTTTTATTCATTGCCCATTCAGTTTCACATTCTAAAATTGCTTTTTTGAAGTATATTGGAGCAGTATCTCCGATTTCCAAAGGAACGGGTACACAGTTCCAAACCATGTGAGGCATATTATGAAGTTGCATGGCACTTTCAAAAAATACAACATCTTCATCTTGATTTTTAAACATTGTTGTTAATTTTTTACGATAAATCTGAAAACTTAGATAAATAATATGTGTATATGATAACCATTGATGTAATTTTATAATTTACCTGCATTTCATTCCAAACATCTTCATCAATATCAGTTGCACATGCATAATGGTATATTGGCACTATTAAGCAGTGGCCTTCTGTCAGAGATTTATATGATGGCAAACATATGTAACACTAAAATTTTTAATATAAATTAAAAATTTTTAAAAGATTTAAGTCTCCACAATAATATTTGTCTTAAAAGATGATTAGTTACATTCTAAAACATTAATGCTTAGATATTAAAAATTAAAAAAAATGTCTAAAATTAAAATGATAATTTTACTATTAAGTATCAATGGATGAATGAGAAATATATTTTAACTAAAATATATAAAAATTGACTTACAATTTTTTTTTAAGATCCTGATGTATTAAAAAGATATGTGATCAAAGTTATTACATACTTTGTGGAGAATATAACCTAATTACGCAAAAGGGATATTATACCAAGAAAAAATTATCTATAATGATTTTTTTTTTAAGGAATAATGAACTTAAAATAAAGCTTTAACAATTTCAATGGGGTTCGGCTTAGCCCTTTAATATATAACACTCTAAATTTCTCCATTTGAGATGGCAAAAATGTAGAGATTAATGCAAATATATTTAAAAAAAACATTATTTTTGCTTACATATATTAATATTAGTCTCAAACCCCAAAAGTAATAAATGTTAATAAAGGAATATTTTTGAATTTCATAATAACTTTATAAGAGTATATATATACTTTTTCTCCTTTTGTGATGAAAAGATGCTTCATCATAGCATCACTATCAAAGCAATAACAACATGAATTTAAAATTTTCTCAGTTTTTTTATGTTCTTTTATTGCTTGTTTGACTTCTCTTTCAGCAGCTTTAGCTGAATGTTTCTTTGAAGCTCGATCAACAAACACATCATCTTCGTCATCTCTACTATTAACCTAACACATTTTTTACAAATTACTTATAAGGTATAAAAAATGAAATTAAAATGATTTTTTTTTTTTAATTTTTGGTAAGAATAGTTTTAATAACATCAAAAAAATTCTATTAAAAATAATTTATTTTGTATTTTGGTTTTAATCACAAAATTAAAGTATGTGCACTAATTAATATAAATTTAGTTATTTTAGTAATTTAGTAAGTTAAATTTATTCTTATAAATATAATAAAGAAATTAAAAAATTTTCTTTTATTAATCAAGTTTGACGACTTAATCCAAAATAGAAAATAATTTAAAGAAAATTCCAGAATGTAGAATATTGTAAAAAAATGCTTATAAAATTGATAAATATTCTTAATTTTTTTTTTCTCAAAAATTAAATACATTAAAATAAAAATAATAAAAAATATTTAATTCAAACTATTAAATTTATATTTCATTATTAATTTTAAACGTATATTAATATTGATACCGCTGGTCCAGGCATGTCCCTATTGCCCCCCAAAAGTACACCCCTGAAACATGATACTTTTAATATTATTAACTCATATATTATAATATATTTAAATAAAATTATTTGTATTATATTTTATATTAATTACTTATAAAATATTACTACATACTTTTCTTGATAATTTGACAAATTCTAAGTTACTATCTTCTGCTGTATTTTTCATTTCTTTCTGAAACTAAAACAATTAAAAATAATTATTTGAAATTTAATTCAAATATTTTATTAATTATAATGAATAAAATTTGTGAACAAACCATAGATTTTAATGAATATTTGTCATCATCATCAAAATATCTCACTCGTTTACCATCTTCATGTGTTAATACCCGTTCTCTCTTTTTTTTTCTACTATCATATTTGTCTGATTTTGATTGAGTAACTGGATAACTGTATCCTTTTGATGATGTTCTTGTCAAAAGCACAACATTATCTTTTAGGTTTGATTCGGATGGCATTTTATTTTCTATTAATTTAGTAAATTTTCGGGCATTTTCAAGTTTATTTCGTAGTTCTTCAGCTAACGACTGAAATATAATACTTATAATTATTATAGATAAAAATGGAATTAAAATGATAGCATATAATAGTTGACACTAATATTTTTCTAAAATAATTTTTAATAGATATTTTTTTCTAATTGAGTAATTACAGTTAGATAATTATACACTATTCATATTCAATGAGAAAACAACACTATTATTTAAAAGGAATATTAAATTTTAAATCATTTGCAATAATAATAGCGCAAAATTATTAAAAAAAAAAAAAAAATTATGGATGAAATTATAACCTGATTCAATCAGAAAATGTATCATTTACTTTTCATCCTCTATTTAAAAAATTGAACTTTATGCTATGAATCAACCAAAAACATTAATATTAATAAATACTTAATACATGGCTTAGCATATGATAAATTTTTTTACCATGATAAATGAATTACCAATTAGATTTAAATAAAACAAAAAATAAATTTTATTAAAACACTAAATAAAAACTATAATAAAAAATAAATCTTACAGTATTTCCCATTAGTTCAGCTTTTATCTGTTTAGCAGCAAGTTCATTTAATTCTGCATCACTTAAAAGTTTACTTTTACTTTCTTCATTTTTGACGGTTGGGTTACCAGAAATCTCTTTTGAACTCTCTGATTGAGTTTCAATTTTTTTAATTCTTTCATCATTTGAATAGTTCTTTTCATTATTAGAATATCTATAGTATTTAGGACTATGGTGACTAGATGAAGAATCTTTTTTTTTTATAGCTCTATTATTTTTATGTCTATCTATATAACCCTCACTTTTTTCTTTTTCATGTTTACTATTTTTTCTGTCATGTTTCCGCCATGCTTGATGGCTATTAAAATTACTAGAATTATGAGAATGATTGTAATTTTTATATCTATTTTTATCATCATCATCATCTGCTTTAGGTTTAAGAAACACTTTATGTTGATTTTTTTTAGGATTATTAGGTGGAAGACCAGTTCCACCATTTTTCCAATAAGGGTTTAGTTCTCGATTAGATTGGCCAGGCTAAAGTATAAAAAATTAATTAAATACTTTCATTTAAATACAAAATTTTTTTATCCACTCAGTACAATTATACCTAATTCATAGTTAAAAAAAAAAAAAAATAGTTAAGCAAATTACCATTTCCATTCTAAATTTAGTGTTTTCTAATTCTTCATTTTTATTATTATGTTTTTTAATAGTTTCTTTTGATGAGTTACAAATGAAATCCATCCAATTATCAGGTTCATTTTTCGATTGATGTAATATTTGTCCTGATTTAGTATCTTTTTCAACCCAATCATTATCATCAGAACTGTTATTGTTTAATGAAGTTGAAGACGATGATGATCTCTAATAAAATTACATACAATGATTTTACACATTTTGATTCACAAATAATTTTAAATATTTAATTTTAGTACTTACACATCGTTTTTTTTTATTATGTTTTCTGTCCTTTTTATGCGATTTTTTCCCCATCCTGAAATTTTTTTACTATAGCAATATCTTGATTTTGTTCTTTTGAATGACGCCTTTGTTCTTGACGTTCAATATCTTTTAAAACACCCTCGTGCAATTTATTTAAATCGTCTTGTTGTTGATAATGCACAAAACCAATAATACTGGTTGATATAATGCAAGATAGTCCAAATACTATTTTAGAAGTTGTTGACATACCTAAAATGTAAGAACATTAAATAAATAATAATACTTTTAAAAATTTACAATTATTAATGTTCATAAGTAATTTATAACTCACTAAATATTATAAAAACTATAAAACGGCTGATTATAAAGTAAAGAGAGAATTATTTAAATTTTTGTTTAAGCCTAAAACGTAACATAAAATAATTTATATATCAGTGTTTTAAAAAAAATGTTATCAGACTTATACAGTAATCATTAACCACACTTAATGTTTAACGAACACAGTTCATAAAGTTGTAATCTATTGATAAATTTACTATCGGTTCAATGTTTTTGTTTAAATTTATTGTCAAATATATAGTTCAAATAATGTCTTCAAAATTACTTCTTGCGGTAATGTCTTAGTTTTTATAATTTTTGCAAGTATAATAATATTTTGAAGCTAAAAGGTTTAATTTTATGGATATTTTATTTAATATATTTACTATTGCAGTAACATAAGGTTGGATCTGTTATTATGAAAGTATGGATTGGGTAGGACAGGAAGTGCAGTATATTAGCAATGCCCATAAAAGGTAATGTTCACCTGTTGATCTCACTTTTAGTATGTGACCCATGAAATAACAGTTCTTTTTGTAGTTTAATAACTTTGATTAATATTTTAAAAATAATGGCTCTATCCCTTAGAATCCGTTTAGTAGATGATGGAGTTACTAAAACAATGCAGTTTGATCCATCAACTTTAGTTTCTAATGTTTGTTTACAGATTAGTGGCAAAACATCACCTGATCTGTCTGATTATACTTTGTTTTTGGTTGAAGAAGATTCTAAAAAAGGTATATATCTCGAACCTACTCGTAGCCTAGAATATTACATTTTAAGAAATGGAGATCTACTTGAATATCGCAAGAAACTTAGGAAATTAAAGGTTAGTACTTTAGATGGTACATTGAAAACTTTGGTTGTTGATGATACTCAACCAGTTGCAAATCTTATGGCAGTTATATGTGCTAAATTAGGCATTACTAATTATGATGAGTATAGCTTAGTACGAGAGACATCAGAAACTGATGAAAATAACTTAAACATAGGAAATTCAGTCAAAAGAGATTATAAAATGGAACATTTACGTAAAAAGTTAAAAACTGATGAAGAAACCAATTGGATAAATCCAGGATCGAGTTTACGAGAGCAAGGAATAAGTGATAAGGAAGGTGTTTTATTAAAACGAAAATTTTTTTTCTCTGATGGTAATATAGATACTCATGATCCTATTCAGCTAAACATATTGTATGTTGAAACAAGAGATGCAATTTTAAAGGGAACTCATCCAGTAACTGAACATCTAGCAATTCAATTGGCTGGAATACAAACCCATATTCAATTTGGGAATCATGACGAGTTAAAACATAGACCTCCTTTATTAGATCTTAAGGAATTTCTTCCACAGTTTTATATTAAAGTTAAAGGTATTGAGAAAAAAATATTTAATGAACATAAAAAATACATTAATTTAGAAGAGCTTGATGCTAAAGTTTTGTATACTAAAACTATAAGAGCTCTTCCAACATATGGAGTTACATTTTTTTTAGTTAAAGAAGAAATGAAAGGTAAGAGTAAACTTGTCCCTAGACTTCTTGGAATAACCAAGGAATCTGTTTTGCGGGTTGATGAAAAAAGTAAAGAAGTTCTTCAAACTTGGCCTCTAACTAGTGTTCGTCGATGGGGAGCTTCACCACATACATTCACCTTAGATTTTGGTGATTATTCAGATCGTTATTATTCAGTTCAAACTACTGAAGCTGAGCAAATATTACAGTTAATTTCTGGTTACATTGACATTATTTTAAAGAAAAAAGCTGCCAAAGATTATATTGGAATTGATAGTAATGAACATTCTACTGTATTGGAAGATACAGTAAATCCATTTAAAGCGATTTTAATTGAAAATAGTAATCAAAAAATTAAAACAGAATCAGTTGCTAAGCCAGCTCTTCTTAGGATTCCAGAGGCATCTCCATACACCACGGGGTATATTTCTGAAGAGCAATATACATCTATAGAATTTACTTGTACTGAAGCAATAACAGGGGTTATGGAAGATCTCGATACTACTATATCTGAAGATAAGTGGGAACAAGAGGTCGGAGAGAAAAAGTTTTCTGATTACCGTGAAAGTATATTAAAGACATCTAAAACTCTAGTAGAAAATACTAAATCACTTGTGGCTGGAGTTGGTGTATCTAAGGAACAAGTTTATGAATCTTCTAAGAATGCACTATCAACAGTTTTACAATTAGTAGAACATGTAAAAGCTGGTGCAGCTTGTGTGGATAATCGTGAAGTTCAAATAAATCTTATAAGGTCAGTAAAAAATGTGGCTAGTGCTCTTGGAGAGTTAATTTCTGGATGCTTTGAAGTTTCCTCAATGGACGAACTTAAGGATAAAGCCAAAGTTTTAGTGACTAATGTTACAACTTTATTAAAAACTGTAAAATCTGTTGATGATGAACGAACAAAAAATATTTTTATCTTAGAATCAACTGTTGAGGCTATTGAAAAAGAACTACAGAAAAATCGACTAATTACAAACTATGAAACAACTACAGAAGAATTAATTCATTCTGCTAAGCATATCGATGAAACTACAAAAAAAATATTGGAAATTTCTAACAATTGTAAACCTAATGATGTAGTAGATGCAGTAACAGAAGGTCAAAAGTCTGTCACTAAGTTATTGACAACTTGCCATGGAAAAAATTTGAATGAAAAAGTTTTTGAAGCTGGACGTCAAGTTGTAGAAGAGTTTAAAGTTTTATTAAATACAGTTTTAGAAAACTCTAAAAAGCCATATTCAGAATTTAAAAGTGATTTAGAAGAAGCGTCTCAACGCATATCATCAAAAGTTCAATATTTAATTACCATTGTTGAACATATTGAAACTATTGAATATCATTTATTAGACTCTGCTACTTCTATAGATACTGCAGTAAAAAAACTTGATTTGATACAACCTAGGCCTTATGAGTTTAAAGTTGATGAAACCTGTTGGAAATCTGATGAGGTTATATTAGAAGCTATAAAATCAATTGCTGCTGCAACATGTGCATTAGTAAAGACAGCTTCCCTTGCACAACATGAAATAGGCATAGAAGAAGGTGTTGATGGATTAGTACATGCTGCTAAAATGGTAGCTGCTGCTACTCATAATCTTGTTGATTGTGCACGAGAAATTATTGAAGGTATATCTACTGAAAACAAACTAATATCTGCAGCTAATCAAGTAGCTACTTGTACAACACAACTTTTAGTTGAATGTAAAGTTAGAGCTGATCCAAATAGTGATGCTACTAAGAGACTTTTGGCTTCTGGTAATTATTTTCATTTGTTTACAGTTTTATACATTAAAAGAAAAAAAAAACTTATATCTTTTACTATATTATTCAGGTAATGTGGTGAAACGTGCTACAGAAAATGTTGTTCGAGCTGCAAGACAAGCCATGAAAGCTGATGATATGAAACGTCTTATATTAGATGAAAGTATAGTTGGTGGTATGGCACAAGAGATAGATGCCAGATCAGATGTATTAAGAATTGAACGTGAACTAGATGAAGCAAGAAAACGATTAATAGTTATTAGACAAGCAAAAAATAAAAATATTGACAGTTATTAAATTAATCTCATAAAATATTAACTAACATTATTATTTTATTTTATTTGCATTTTGTAATAATAAGTAATTGTATTATTGATTAAAAATCTTGCTTTTGTAAATAACATAAATTATGCTGATTAAAATTATTTTTTTAATCTTGCTTAAAAATAATGAAGATTCAAGTACTAAGATATTTTATAAGTTTTAATGTTATTTACAAGTTTTTTTTTTCAAAATTTGTATGCTATAAATATATTAGTTGGTATAACCATGTTTAAAAAAACAAAATTGCTTACATATATGCTTTTATAGAAATGTATAATTTATTATTTAGTTCTGGTATTGTTATTATTTTTGACTAATTTATTAACTATTTTTATTAAAAAATTAGATATTTAGTTTTTTATTTTTCTGACTCAATTTTTATTTATTAATATAAGAATGCTTTCAAAATTTTATGTTTGATACAACTGATCCAATTAAGTTCTTAAAAAATTCAGAATATTTAAATATTAATATGTGTCAACATTGATTACTACTATTAAGACTTCAAACTGATCAAATATATTGAATTAATTAAATAATGTTAAAAACTAATTAATTTAATTAATTCATTAATTAGTAAAAATAAAATTTTAATTATACTATGTTTTAATTTGATATTTTTTGTAGTTTCTATATTTTTTCATTTAAACAATATCTTTTCAATTTTAAGAAATTTCAAAATGTATTCATGTATGTTTTCTCAAAGTTAAGTTTTATAATAACATTTCAAAGTTATAAGTAAGAAAATGTCATGATTAATATTAATTAAATAACATTGTAACTTTAATAGGTAAGTATTTATATATTTTTTTAAAATAGAGACTCCTAAATGATAAAAATATAACCTTCATTACTTAAATAACAAAATTATTTAAAAAAAGTCTATATAAAGTAATGTTTAAAATATCTGGTAATAAAAGGAGGCAATAATAATATTGTTAAAGAAATTCATCACTGAGTAATTTAAAAATTGATACAATAAGCAATGAAAAAATGAGTGAAGATAACTTGATGATACAAATGGCGTCAAAAAAAATTATGACAGGACTCATTTAATTAATCTAAAAATAACGCGAATATTTTCTGTTATTTGATATGGTTTCTTATCTTATAATAATACTTTATAAATTATAAAGATTACATGTTATCATATTTTTACCGGAATTAAAAACATTAACAAAAATGAATCTTTAATACATATTTTAATTATTAGAAGTATAATATCTATCTGACATTTGAAATTTAACTAATAGTTAATTTATTAATTAGTTATTTGTATGGTATTTACATATATCAATTTTAAATTAGATTTTTAATGATAACTAAATTTTAAACAAATTAATAGAAAATAAAACAGTTGAATCTAAAAATGAATAAAAAGAAATACAAGAAAGATAGTGAAGTTAAACATTTGATGTTGAATGATGACAAGGAAGCTATTTTGAAACTGATAGATGAATTATTAGATGGTTTGTTACTCAATGACTTATTTATGGGGTACAGGGAGAAATTTCTGAGAAAGATTATGAATGCATTTGTTTAAATTTAAAGGATATGAATTTAGAAAGTTCTAAGTCAACCATAAGTTATATCATGTGTGGTGGTTTCAAACAAATCAAGTGTTCATATACACAAAAACGACCTTGAGATAATTTTTTTTACTCAAATTTCTCTAATAATTACACTATTGCTCTATTAATAGAGCAATAATATTTTTAATATTATTTTTATTTAAATATTTTTAATTAAATAAAATATTTTGATGTTTATTTTTTTTAGATTTCATAACAATTTTTTTCTTATTGGTGTGATTTTGCTAAAAAAAATATGTAATGACATAAACATCTGTGCCTTATTTATTAGTTATAAATATAATAGATACCTATTGTACTACTTATTGGGAACAAAAATTATTATTGAAAATTATAAATAGCTTACCTAGCTCAGTTAGTAATATGTTGTGCTTTGGTTTTGGTACTGGGGTTTGTTTCATTGCACTGGGCTATGTGAGTTTTCTGTCCATATGCATATATGAATTATGATAAAATTAATTACATATTGTTAAAAATAATTAAATTGTAACTCTTAAGCAAAAGTATATTGTCAAGTATTCATTCTCTATAACATTATTTTTTGGGGTAAAATATCTCAAAAATATTTCTGTATTATTCATTATTTTATGATTTGATGTTAAAATATTAATCAACAGGGATATAAATTATATGTATTTGTAAATTTTATTAAGTTAATACGCACACTATCAGCCAGTATAAGTTTTTATTTATTGACGTAAAAACTTAATTAGTAATATGTATTTTCTGATGTTACAGTTTTGGTTGAGCAATTAGAGGGGTTAATTACTCTTAAAATTAAAAATATTTCTGCATTACTATATAATTGTACGACAAATTTCATATGCTTCAAAGTAGTTTATACAAAATATATAAACACATATAATTCACAGCCCTTTTAACCAAATTATTTAGGTATACCTTTTTAATACAAACATTATAATTAATATTAATTTTTATTAATTATTTCTTTAATAGCTACTAGCATGATGTCAAATTCTCCATCATTCAAAGAACAATGGGCACTTCACTTAGTAATTGTAGATTTACTATCTAAAATTAATCAATTAGAAGTGAACTTAAAATTAAAGCCTTTATCTGAGAGGAATGACTCATCAATTGAAAAGTTAACTAAATGGGCAACAAAATATGGTGCTGTATTAAATGGTGTCGAAGTCCAACTGCTTAATGAGGGTGTTTATGGAATGAAAGCTAAACAAGGTCTTAAAACTGGAGATAGCATAGTGATAGTACCTAAGTCATTAATGATTACTGAAGAAAATATAACTTCTTCCCCATTAAGTTAGTTTAAGTATTTAGTTACTTTTTTATTTTTACTAAAATTAATTATGACTAATAAACCATTCTATATTATTAGGAAAATTGCATGCTCAAGATATGATGTTACGCAATATGCCCAATGTTGCTTTAGCGATATTTATATTAGTAGAATTATTACGTAATGATAAAAAAAGTTTTTGGTATCCTTATTTAAGTACTTTACCAGAATCATATTCAACTCCTGTTTATTTTGATGTACCTGATCTTGAAGCATTAAAGGGATCACCAACTTTTGGTATTATGTTATTTATTAAATCATGTTGCATTAAAATATTTTTTTTGTAGAATTTTCATAAAAATTATTTTAAATGAAAGTTAGTATAAAATTTTTTATTCATTTTATAAAAATGTTTACACTACTGCATGATATATACTTTTAAAGTAATAATTTCAAAACACCAATAAAACTTTTATTTAGTAACTACTCTTATAACAAAAATATTTTTATTTATTTCAGATTTAAATAAACTATTTTTAAACAATAAATTAAATTCTTATCAAATTCGAGATTTCATTAAATTGTCTACTAATTTATTTAATTAAATTTTTTCCTTATAGAATCTGCATTGAAGCTTAATAGAAATATAGCACGCCAATATGCATATTTCAAAAAACTTTTTCAGGTAAAATAAAAATGTTTCTATAATTTTCAAATTTTTTAAATAATGTATATAAAATTATGAATTAAATATATGCATAAATATTTAATTATGAATAAAAAAAAGTTATATTATAGTATAGTTATTTGCAATTAAAATTCTTTGTATACTAAAATACCTTTACTTTTACTAAATAATTAAAAATCTTATTTGAGTACATTTTAATTAAAATTAAATAACATATTTTTTTTTTGTAGTTATCCAATGATCCAGCTAGTATAATTTTGAAAGAGTCATTTACTTATGAATACTACAGGTAAATAAACAAAAATAAAAGATTACATGTATTTTCTAATAATAGTTAATGATAATTGTATATTATTATTATTCATTTGTAATGATGTTGTAGAGTAGTATTTGAAAAAATTGTGTTTTTGAACACATATTCATGTGGTCACATTCATATTTTTTTTAATGAACATCACACGAATTTCAATGGTTTTTTTCAAATAAAATGTAAACATGAATGAAATTCACATTTTTCATAAATTTGAATATTCTTCTGGCTGTTAACACAATTAACAATTATATTATAGTTTCTACAAACTCAAAATGGCAAAATGAAATTATATAAAACAAAAAAGTAATTAAATATATCCATTAAATGATGATAATATTGTATGGGCTAAAAGCTGTTATTTTGTATAGTCAGATGTTGATATAATCACTAATACTTCTAAAACTCAGGGTTATTAAAAAACATGTTTTTAAAAAAAACTAGGTTAAAACATAAGTAAACAGTTTAAAATGTCCTTTAAGACTTATATAAATTTTGAATTAATTTAAGTTATAAACATGTTTAAAATATAATAACCCTGCTAAATATATGAAGACAAGTAGAACAACATGCAATGCATTAAGTGTATTGTTTACTGGCTGAAACTTGTTCTAAATTACTCAATATCTTATGAGTGATTGAAATTATAGCGCAGTCTCTTTGTATATTTATAACTATTCTTTTTAATTGACAATGAGTTCAAGTAAAAAATGTGCACACTCTACTTTTAATTCTGATGAAAGAAATGAATATAATTATCTGGAAAATATGAAGTGTAAATAATAGATACACTATTTATGTATTTAATAACTAGAATGGGAATAATTAATTCTAAGGTAGGGTTGGGTTTAATAATGGGGAGTATTGGTTTATAGATCTTTCTAAAACAAAAATATTTACATAATGAATATATTTGGTTTTATTTAATTTGTATTTATTATTGACATCAAATACATTATATAAAATCTTTTTCTAGAAAGTATATATCATTTATATTAACTGTCACTACTATGAACTTGAGATTTTCTACTGTATGACCAGCTAATACTTCAGAAATACATAATGTTTTTATTTACAACTGCATTGAATCACAAGACATGAATTAAACATTAATTCCCAGAGAAAATCAGCTATCCCATGAAAACCATCAGTTTTTAATAATACCACAGGGTTTCTCATATCTTTAGACATGTAAACACTATATTGTTACTTAAGTGTGTTATATGACTTTTAAAGTTTTGATAATTAATGGTAAACTCTAGTAAACAAATAAAATAAAGTATATGTACTTCAGCATTTTTAGTGCTTATTATCAGTTCTATTTCAGTAGAATACTTATTATTATTAAAATTCAATGATACTTATAAAATAATAAATTAGTATTTCATTTATTTTCACCAAATACTCTATTTATAAATCAAATAAATAGATAACAGATGTATAGTTTTGAAGTTAAAATACTTTTTATAATAGAAATTTTTTTTTTTAAGTAAAATGAAATTTTGAAATTAATATTAAAATACAATATAATATAAAATAAATAAAAGTATTATGAAATACTCATATTCTTCATTAAAAATACATCTGAGATAGTATCCAGAATTTTCCTAAAACTTTGCAATAAATTCAAAGGTATTTCATTTGATGTAACCATTTTAATACAAGCAACAATAAGTCAATTTTTATTCAAATTAAGTTTGATGGAATGGAAGTTTAAGAAATGCTCAATGTACTCAGACTTATTTTTCTTATAAGAAAGACATATAAACTTCAAATAGAAACTCAAATTAGCAAAAAATGCAATTGTAATATTGGATACACAATGCATATCCAATATTACTATTTGATTTTACCCATCATATCTCATTTTATTTGGCAGTGACATTTTTGCATCTAAATTTTCTATTGTTTGCTTTCATTTATTTTTGGCTCGGATTAGATCTGCATATTGTGATGCGTAAACAAAAAGTTTTATTTTTGTATAGGATTTTTGTATATTTGTTAAGCCATTTTTGTTACAAAATCGGCAACTGTGAGTACCGATTCTTGATTCTAGATTTACATCTATAAAATTAAATCGGATAAAATCAATTACCTGTCAATTGAACCTGTTCATTTGACAATAAAATGAATTTGAGTGTGAATGAGTTCCTTTATCATACATTGGGTGTGCATATGAATGAGCTTAATTTTTTAGTGAACTTTCCAAACACTTCTGTAGAGCAGATACAATTATAATCCATTTTTTTCAATATTGATTTTATAGTTTGATTTGATAGCCTATTAGTAGTATTAAATGTTTTTATTTTGTTAATTTGTAAAATTGGACTATTGTTTTTACCGTATACCCTATCATTTTATTCTATATATATATATATATTATTATTATTATTAAGATTATTTGATAACTTAATAGTTACTAACCTATAAATAATAATAATAATATTTTAATATTATTATTTTATAATATATTTTTGTATTTATGGGTATAATTATTTAAAAATGTTTCTTACTATAATATTATTATTATTATTTATTATAATCTTAAATAATATTTCATGAAAAAAAATTTGATTCAACATATATGCTATAATATTTTATTAATTGAGAATAAATTAAAATAGATTTAACTATTTATTTATACGTAGTAATTCAATTGCACAGAAATGTTCATGAATAATTTGTATTGTGCAAGCCTATTTAATAATTTATAATTTAAAAGAAATGTATTTAGTATCTACAATGTGTGAATAAAACTTAAACAATAATATGGTCAGTCATAACGAAAAGTTCTCCTTAATGTTCTCCATAGGTAATATTGACGGTTTGCTGCTACACGATCATCAATGCGACTACCATATCCATCGTAATATTGATTGTGATAATTTTTGTCCATCACAGGACTAGTGCTACGGGCACTAGACCGAAGTTCTGGATCTGGATGAATATTATGTTTACAGTATACCGAGTTCTTTCTCATTACTCTCTTTTTTTGTCTCATACGACATGAAACTAGCAATACGAAAAATCCTAAAACTGCTATGGCCAGTATTGCAGCACTGGCTATTATAGCAGACTTAACAGCTACAGGCAATTTTCTCATTTCAAAACGCTTATATACTAAATCTTCTTCATTAATTTCCTTGTCATCGTCAATTTTATATTTATCAATATGATTGGTATCTTGTATAAATAATACTTGTGAAGGTATTGTAGGCGTTATGAATGGTGATCTCGTCGAAAAAACTGGCAGACTTTCAAATATACGTGGTTCTCTATCCACAGTTTCCATTATAGTTCGAGACCTAGGACTTTTCAAAGTAACTCCATTAGATGAGGATATAAACGTCGTAGTTGTTGGCAAATCTATCTTCATGTGTTGTTCGAAATTTCTCTTATCTTCGTTATTGTGTTGAAATATAATTTCTGACTGATTACTATCCATCAGTTTATCTAATTCCATCACTTCTTCGTTTAAAATTTTGTCTTTTCCTCGCTCTTCTTTAGATATGGTCACGTAACGATCAGTTGTTTTAGTTTGTTGTGATGAAATTGATTTATCGACAAAAATTTGAGTATTGCTTAATCCTATGATATTTCGATCTTTTTGTGCCAAACGTTTCGTTTCAATTAAATAATCAGTAAAGTTTTTTGTATTTTCTAATAACTTTGGGTTATATGAAGATGGTTCGTCTCCTGAGGTTGTCGTCTCATTAACTTCCAATAGTTCTTGATGTCTTTGACTAGATCCTCGCTCTCTGTGCTGTAATAGTTGTTCTAATGACATGTTTCTTAAATTTAGTATGTTAGATAATAACAAGGACCCGGTCTTAGTTTTTAGCAAAGTAAGGATTTCGTCCTTGACTTTTGGGATGCTATCTGATTTAAACGTTAATTCTTCAACTTGGTATTTAGGCTGTTCACTTATCATTTTTGACAACGCTTCGTCATCGAATTGGTATTCATCTGAAGAAGGTGTAGTTTCTTTGATAGTCTTTTGTTCATTTGATAATTTTTTAAAACCTGGAGGAAGTAAAGACAGAGGAACATCTTCTTTAATTATTAAAACACTTGGTTTTGGAGTTGTTGTTGTAGTGAACGGCGTTGTAAAAGCCGTAGTAACTTCTTCGGAAGCGTTATTTTGTGGTCTTAGGCGTCGCCTTAACACTGCTGAAGTAAGTGGTAAATTACCGCTGACCGGTCTTTTATGTACCACTACCATATCTGCACGGGTTGAATTTGGTTTCTTTGAATCTTTTATAGTTGTTTCTTTACTTGTTTCTTCCACATAGTTTTGTTGTACTGTTGGTGAAAAAGTTGTAATTCTAGGTGTTGTTGTTATTGTAAATTTAAGTGTTGTAGACGACGGGTTTTCTATTGTAGTGGACTTCAAAGGTTTCCATTTTGTTTCTTCTGTTGTTGTTACAGGGTCCCAATTAGTGTTTACGATCTCTCCATCATCATTCGTAGTATTAATTGGTCTTCTTATTGGGACTTTTCTGCGCGGTAAAATGTTCTCTCCATCTAACTCATCGTACACTGGTCTCCTATTAATCGGCCGCCTTCGTCTCTTCATTGGTCGTTTTCTAACGTATACACCATCCGCATAATCTTCTTCGGACGTTTCTTTGTGTTGTGGCGTTGCTATCGTTTCTACAGTAGCATCTTGTTGTTCTTCATACATGTGTGTTGATGTCCTAGGTCGCTTACGTCGACGTCGACGCCTACGGCGGGTTTTTCTTATTGGAACATGGAGTTCAGCATCACCATCTTCGCTAGTTCGTTCTTGATTGCCTGGAAATGGCACATGACTTTCTACAATATCAGAAGAAGCTTCATCGATGCCGGTTTCTTCCATATCATCTTCTTCGCCAACGTTGGCTTCTGAATCAATCTGTGTTAGATCCTAAACAATAAAAAGTTATGAAATTAGCTGATACTTTTACTACATTTTAATAAATACTCACGCTAATTTCTGTTTCATCGTTGCTCTGTGAGGAATCGCGCTGTTTAAAAACATGTTCTCTTTCATCACATTTTGTAGTGGAGATCAGTTGAACTACCACAATATAACCCAGCAGTGTCCATAAAAGAATTTTCATTTTACTAAAAAAAAAAGAACAATAATCTCATTATCACTGTTTCTTCTTTATAGGGTTTAAATTTGAAATTCATTTTCGTGACTACATATTTGCTTGAAATAAATTTCATTTTAATTATTATAAAGTAATACTGATTTGAGTAATGCGACGTGATTACATTATGATCTTTAGTCATAGTACAATACGATATAAGGTACGCTTCAGCGCGTGTCAAGTAATAGCTAACAAAAATGATTGATGGTCAGCTCCGAGTGATGACTACGCGCGAACTTGAGCATACTTTCTCTGTGCAAGTCGTGTGCGCGATCCAAATGAAAACCGCATGAAAACAAAATGAAATTTATCTAGCTACTCAACTATATCATCAAAGTGTGTTTACTGAGCGAGACATATTATTTTAAAGTTTATGGTCATTGATGATGCCATTGAACCGAATGGTGTCTGCGACGTAATGTAAAAATATTATCACGTTACGATTATAGAATATTGCGGTTTCTTATAAAATGTGATTGACTTGTAGTGACCTATACAAATTATTCACCGAAAACACTTAATTTTTTCAATTTCCCGTAAGAAGTTAGCACCTGAGTTTTTATTGAATTTATTTTATCGTTTAGAAGTGAAACTTATACACCTCCATAAAAGTGATGATAATCTAAAACACCTGGTTCAAAACGTTTTATCGTTAAGATTTTCAAGTGACAACTATACAGTTTTCACGGTAAATTTAGTCAGATTTCAAAGCGCAAGTGACATCTACTCTTACATTTAAAAAATGTATAATGGAAGATCAATAGTTGTGATTATTATTATCCTTTATTACGTGTTGCTTTTGTTGTTCTCATTTGTCAATAAAACTGTTTACCTGCAGTCATTTAAAGATTTCACTATTGTAAATAGAAATAGTTAAACTGTCATTTAAACTTATTTTTTTCAACTCATCTAAGGAATATCCGTATTAATTACTCTCGTTTTCGAAGATATGAATTGCTGTGTACTTAAATGATGATAATATTTTATAGTAGTAGTGAATAGTCGTTGAAAGTTTAACTCTACTAAACAATTACGAAATGTTTTTTTTTGTTATATTACAGAATGTTTTTTAATTTACGTAAATAGTATTTCATGTTGAGCGCTTAAAACGATTTGTTAAATTTTTATGTGTACGCCAAGTTGTCGCGGTCAAATTAAAACACGTGATACGTTTTGATATTTATATAACGATCGTTTAAATTATAATTGTTACCGGTTCAAATATATAACAGATGGAAAAAACAAGATCATACGTGATAGAATAATTCAATTACAAATTAAAATACAATGGAATATTAAGATAGAGCCGAAAGTGAAAGTCTAATGTCTGGACTATTAAGAGTATTAGACTATTACATTTAAAATGTACTTAACACTCTCAAGGAAATGGTCGATTTACCAGCTATTAAAATGCTCAATTGTTTTGTTTCCCTTTGCGTTGGGTTTGGTCCACAGTACTTTGCCAACGACTATCGTAAAACAATTGACATTATGCTAATATAAATTTTTTTTTTTGGCTCTCGTTATTTTTATTATTTGTTGTCATGAATGATAGAGTAGTATTATAAAGTTCATTTTGATGTTGGCTTATTAATTAAAACAATACACACATCAAAGAATATTAATCCGAACAAAAAATAGCATTCTGTAGAAAGTAATACATTTTTCGAGAAATAAATTGAAACCTTTTTTTATTTCAGATCCTGTTACTGATATCAAATAAAATTAAATAAAACACCAGGTGTTACAATTGGAATATGTTGATAAAACAAAAATTAATTAATTCATATTATTTTGTTGTTCATTGACTGAAAATGTTCTATATAAAAATCTATTGGTGTCTCTAAAAAAATGCTCCCGTCTAGTCAATATTTAACAATATTATTGTTTTTCCTACTTAGTGTTGTTTATGAATATACTAGTATGGAATTTCATTTTTATTTGATTTATAGGAATAACAAATAACTCACGTGTTCAATCACACGCATTTCTCGCAGGAGATTTCATTCTAGTTTCAGAGCATTGCGATAGATTATGTTTTTACTTTTATAAGCCACTGCATTATTAATGAACTAAGAGTCGTGTATAATTTTACACGACTAAAATTACTGTAGTCTAGCAATAGACTGGATAATTTGATTTAAATTAGACAATCGTGCTGCCTTATTTTCAACCTAATTTATTTACATTAATGAATTATCACTTGTGTTAATATACGTACTATAAAAATTTAACTACTGAGGCATTAAACTTTTTTTATTTTACAGATTTTACTAAAAAATAAATGATACTAAAAATTAATTATAATTATACGGATTTTAAAATTTTCGATTTCTTTATACTGAAGTTCAGATACAAGTTTAAATATCTAAAATTTAATCTTATTCATTTTCCTCGCCTTAATCCCAATTACTTGGGTCGAACAAAAAAATAAATATCTAAAATTTAATACGAATAGAAATAAAAAAATGTTCAATAGTAATTTGTTCTAGTTTTTATAAACAAAACTTGTAGTGACAAATACTCCCGAGTAAGAGAGAAAGCATATGAATTCCATCATTTTTATTAGATTATTATTACAGAGCCACGTCAATAAAATAAGAGAACCGGATCCTTAAATGGATTAATATTAATCTCGGTGTACTTAAAAACTACTTTCATCGACCGTTTAACGCATCTTCTGTTCAAATATTCCTATTTTAACCCATTTTTAAAGAAAACTTGTTAGAGCTATTGACACTATTTTTTTTATACTAAATGATACAACAAATACGTAGTCTACAAACATTATGTAAGATTTTTAATTAATGGGTACAGTTGTCTTTACTAACTCCAGAGTACGTATATCGTATTGTAAGTTTGTACTAACAATAAAATAAATCAAGAATATAACTTAATCACTTTAATGGACAGACCAAACATGAAACTTTTTCTTAAGATATTTGAAAACTTCAATTAAGATATAAACATATCAGTATCAAGTTTAAACTATAACTTCTAAATTAGGATAAAAACGTTTTACAACTAAATGTTAGTAAATCAATGCACAATCGTACTATTTGAGAAAAGGTAAAACCGGTTCAATGACTACTATTTTCCAACGTTTCTCGTCTTATTAGTTCTAAAGTACTTTACTTATTTTAACCAAGAAAAAACATATTAATTCTATTTGTTGCACCACATGATCCTAAACAACACATTTTCTTTATACTGTAATTTCAACACCTTCCTATGCTATTTTAGAGTACAACTATTCGTGAAATTCGTATACAAGATTTTTAATGATTGAAAACTACATTCGCTCATTGTTAAATTAAAATTTAAATTATTAAAAGCACTCGGTAAATGCTTCAGCAGATTTTAATAATGTATTTTGAAATCGTATTCGTTATTTTTTTAACAATCGCAGCGTAATGATTGTAATTATGTGGACCTCTTGTACATCATATTAATTTAGTACACATCGGTTTAACTCTTATTTGAGATACTGGCTTTTTTTAGACACTTTTATACTCGTGAGAACAAAATACTTTCAAGATCATTGTTTACGAATAGGTTACTAATCATTGGGATTTTTCAGTTAACACGAGTATAGACGTGGAAAGAAAGTGTATGTGTATGTTTTTGTTTTTTATCGCCCAGAGAATGTAGTCTAAAAAAGACTACAAGTAACATTAAGTAGTGTTAAGGTTTGCGAATAGTACAATAAAAGGTTTGTTAATCATCTCTACATGAAAAGAAATCCTAGTAAAATCGTAACAAAACATACTTGTCAAGTGCGGGTACCAATTTTTCCGTTTTGTGTACTTTACCGTCAAATCTAGAGAAAGTCACACTGGAAATGTCAATGTTTCACTTACTTAATGAGATAATATTGGGAAGTGATCACATTATAGATACGCGATGTATCAGCAGCGAATAGTTAGTTACGAAAAAAGTAATCGCGTAACGGTAGACTTGTTTAGGAACGTGATCAATTGTGTGTTAAGTTCATATTTATATACGTTATTATCATTAGATAATTAGCTCTGGATACAGGACCCTACAATTTTCCAAATTAACGCCTTTCTAAGGTAACGCGGTGTACAATTCTGTGGTCAGTTTTCAATTAGGTACCACACGCCAAGGTTTTATTTATTGTTTTTTTGTTGAGAAACTGTAAACGAGCACTGCGAATTAAAAGTTTTGGACCAGAAAACAACAAGGGCATAGGTCATTTTATTATAGACTTCACGGCGTGCTGGACCTCGCTCTCTTTTTAATTTCGGAATTATTGCCTAGCCTAACACAAACTTGAGTGACGTAGCTTCGAGCACATTTTTATTGCTAATCAGTGATCTATATCAGCCACAGCATAAATTATTATTATGCACATATTTTGTTTACTGTTTTATAACTTGTGGACTATGAGAAAGGAGACAATAAGCGCAAGTGTTTCGTGTGTTATATGTAATTATATGTTCTGTCTGAAATCTGAGTGTTCCTCCATTACGCGGTGTCGACTGCTTTGGGTAGTACATTAGTCAAAGATTACATCTCTTGTTATATATGTATTATTTATTTTGACATGATACTGTCTCTTATGGTTCAATAAATCACGCACTTGGTGAAATATTTTATGATTAGTTTTTATTTAACTTTCACCTTCTCGAGTTTATTGTTTATAAAATGTACAAATGAATTTACATGACATTATAGAGTAACTAAAAATATGATAGTACTAAACATGTAAACTGAATTGAAATATTTTGTATCTAACAAAAAAAAAAACACCGTCATACTTTTAATTCAATTAAACGTTATTTTTGTGTATTCAAAAAAATCTTTTTTCGAGTAACTTCGTTTTCAATGATTACGAATAATATTATCGAGTTATGGAATTACGACGAAGTGTGACTGCCTGTGTATGATCAATGTAGTACGATTTGTTAAAAAAATAAAGTAATATAAATATGTTTGAATATTTCTATTTTCCTGACAAGTAAATGATTGTCACGATATTACACTTTCTCGTTACCGAAATTGTGGTGTTATAATTCTGAACGTATTTTTAGGAAATACCGTGTGTATTTATTTTTGCATATAATTTAATGAAAAATCTGTCTTTGAAAAGCATTCATTTGTTTGTTGAAATTAGTGTTGCGTATACGCGCTTGTGAACAAACATGTTTTGTTGTCCTCGTGGGGTCTCGTGCGAACTATTTTTTTGTAATAAACAAAACTTGCGGTACAGTTACCAGCACACGTACGCGATGTTACTCAACAATCACAACACATGTGCACGCAGTTAATAATATATTAATTAAAGGTACATACAATTCCCTAGTATGTGAAAATGCTTAGGTTTTTATTCATTTTTTTTGGATTTTTTTCACTTTCACTCGGGTTTCCCTGAGAAATTTAAGTAAATTGTGAGCAACGAGTACTCAAACACTTAGCTCCTCGTATATTAATTTGAATTATATAGAATTCCGCTCATCTTTATTAACCGGTAGTGTGGGTGACGTAGTTGGTTAAGCGTTGGATATCCGCGTTGCTAAATGTTTCCAAATAAACGGATACACGCGTTATCACGTCCGCTTTTCCTCTGTTGCAGGTGTATTAAGTCTCACGTGGGAAACGTTAAAAATATACTACAGTCATTCTCATTATATACTATTTAAAACATAACGATTTTCATGACTTGCTCATTTTGTTTGGTTCCTATGCATAGAAAAGTAAACGTATTTCGCGTGTTGCCTGTGGTCTCATAATGATCGTGTCACATGATCCGATCATCTTGTCCTTGGTGCATGTGGGAAATTCAGCGATTGGCCGTGTCTCTTTTTAACGTTCTGTCGGTATTGAAGAAGTTTAAAAATAATGTCATCATGACAAATGCATTCAAAATAGAAAATTTGACCTCTTCAGATTATATGTTCATTTTGTAACTAAAAAGACCTTACGTAGATATAATGATTAATGTAACCATATGAACAACCATGAGATTTAACATTAATTATTCCACGAAGAATTTTTTTTTAAAAGTGAAATTAATACTAATTAAACTAATTATTTTCAAGTTTCATACAGTTTAATATGTCGAAGAACGGCAAAAAATGTAATTTTAATTAGAACACGTAGAAAGTAAAAAATAGTCGTATTTATTGTGTTTAATTCTTGTTATTACTTAGAACAAGATTTTAAGGATTTCTATCAAACTTTTTCGCTACCTTTTACGCTATTCATATCTAAATAAAATATTTTAAAGAGATTGAGTGATAGTGTTTATATTTAAATTTTTTTTTTATTTTTAATTTATAAAAAAAAAATCGTTGATGAATCAATTAAGAAAAATATTTGATTTTGGTTTATAAATTATTTAACGAGTTAAAAAAATTTATTGCTATTTAATTAAAAATATCATCTAGTTTATAAGAATCTACAAATTTTTCTAGTTAATTGATATTTTTTTAGTTATTTCATTAAATACTTATAGTAATGTCAAGTATAGTATTTGATTTGTTTGAACTTGCCATAAAAATCCATTTAAAACTTAAATGGAATAGTAATTTCCTAAATTAAAGACATTTTAAGTTGAAAATTTCCATGCTCTGTTTTAGTTTAATACATGAATAATGGATATTTTAACATGTTCGCTTACATTATACACTTACTAAGAATATTATTTAATGCTCCAGTGATTGGAGAATATTTGGAATGTTAGCTATTTTACAATACTAAAAAACTGTAGCATAAATTATGGACACCTTGTGGTTTTAGAAAGCATTCATTTGTGTGAGGATGTGTGCAAATTATATGTAATCTTATTCTAAACATGTGATTTAGGAAATGTGCACATAGATGATTTACAGTCTTTTAACCATAAGTATCAGTAACGTAATAGGTTTTTTGAACCTCACTACGTTTACAATTTTTTAAACTAACAGCGAGAATTGTATTTGTTTTCCACTCCATACAAAGAATTTAAGTTCATTGTATTCACTACGATCCTTTATTTTATAATTGGGTTTGATTTTTAATTTTAAACCAATGAAAATTTATTTTTTTATGTCAGTATTAAAAATCTTCTACTTTTCTTAAATCTAAAAATACTATTATTTTATTTGCATAAATTGTCTATGTTTTTGAATTTTTTGGCGGCGCATAATAAATAATAATTATCAGTGTTATAATTATTGCCAATTTGAAAAAAATATGTTTGCCGCATGAAATACAGAATAATTAATATCTAATTTACATAGTTCTATTAACATGATGAAAGTGTATAGAAAGTTAAAAAATACGTCAATACATATCATTTTTTTAAAATAATTTGCTTTATCCTATAAATAATAAATTTATGTGTTTGAAATGCCATCAGAACTTATGGTTCAAAATTAATCTTTTTTACCATTGAATCTACGGTTATTTAACGCGTTTGATTAATTTTTTCTCTACTCGCGTATTACGCTAATAGGAAGGCGTTCCTATCCTTTTTTTACAATAGTAAAGACTCATTTAAATTTTGACAAGTCATTCATTTTACATTTTCTTAACACTAAAGAACAACTGATTATCGAACCTGTGCAAATTTATACGTATAATTGGATATTTCAGTCTCAAAGCCTCTTTAGACAGTAATCAAAGGTTACATAGTAATATATTTTTTTAGAACGGTTTTTAAATCCTTGTATAATTATAAACACTAAAATGTTATTATTCAACTGAATCATTGCGATAGTGTTATACGAATTAATTGTGCAGCTCTCACAAGTGAGTAATTTCAATATGAAACGTGACTTAATCGTTCTTTATAATTTTGGGTAACTAAAAATCTACATTTCAAAATTGATTTATTTTTTGTGATATTTGTCACAAATAACTACCAAACTGAACTAATACATTACAATCTATTAGTCAAATAAACAATAATTATTGTTTTAACTTTTTGTTTTTACAGTATATCTTATTGTGTATCTATATATACAAAATCGTGGGTTTTATATTTTTTTATGTATTGTAACACTAGTTTAATTTTATCCTTCCAACATGAGTGATATCAGAAATCAGATATTGAATCTGATTTTGATGTGATACACTTTTGTTTCCATTTAAGTTAATTTAATACAAATTTTTACATTTTTTATATAAATTATGATTTGTTATATTTTTTGTAAGTAGATAATTTTAGAATTATCTAAAATGTAGGTGGATTAAGAGAAAGGTTAATCATAGTGGGTGTAAAATTCGTTTAAAATAATTGACAGCAAATACGAACCCCGAAGGCTTTTTTTAACAATTGGAAACCAAGAGTGAATTTTAATAGACATTTATTTTTATGTTAGCCTGAATATTATGTTTTCAAAACGTTTGAGTAGATAATAAAAAGAAGTATTACTCATTTATTTTAAAATTAAAAGGGATATTTAGTTAAAAAAAACATTTGGAATAAAAAGCCGATTAAAAAATAAATAAACTTACATTAATACTAAATGTCCCTTGTAAGGCATTGAAAAAGTATAAAATCAATCACTAAAAACTTAATAACAACCCATTATTCTTTTTAAAATTTTACTAAATACTGAATTTACACATTATCTACGGATGCTTCAATCCTAAAATACCAAACTAAAAAGGTTTAATGACACTTATTCGATTTTTATTTTCATTTAATAGTAATACTCTTTGTATTTAGTGGTTGAGTCGTCTTTAAGGCAAATCCAGTAGGTTCTAAGTCCTAGGACTCACACTTTTTTGTCAATAATATTTAGACATCGTGCATTATCTCTTATTAGTAATTTTAAGTCATTATCTTTTCCCTCAAAAACGCTGTTTAGGGTCCGTCTGCTCAAAACCTTGTTTAAATTTTGCATATTTATCAATTATTTACTAATTTACTAATTTTACTAATTTTACTAAATTAACTAAATTTTGATTATCATTCATAATGATTTAATATTCTAAAAAATGTTACAAATTAACTTTTTTGATGCTATCTGGGTAGGCTGTAAACAATAGGTATCTAGAAAAATGGTTATCTCATTAAAACATATTTATTGAAATTAAAACCTACTTTGAGCTTATATCCGTCTTGTTGGAGATTTTCGATTTGTAAACCACATATCATTAGTCACATATTAAAAAAAAAATTAACGTTCGATCAAAAAATCATTTGACACTAGATCATTTCGAGATTGTTTCGCACGAACTCGCATCTAAACACTGAGCACGAGACTAGTCGTCTTGTCCATACACGAGACACCGCAAATAACCTTTCACTGTATATCTGTCTCCGTAACAGCCTATTCCTTAGACTTGTCGACAGCTACACGATATATCCTCGAGCCCCTTCCGCTCTTTTTTACTATTCCACTGGCGGCGTGTTCCGGTCCTCGTGGGATGTCTATTCTTTCTTCTAATTAATAAAAACATCAGGCAGGTTTGTGGTCAACTATGGGCATTGTGCTATAGTTCGTGTTCCGCAATTTGTAGGGCAATGATTGTTTTCAACGATTCGTATTTTAAAGTAGGTAGGTGAACTAACAGTTATACAATATAATCGTACTGTTTTATAATAGTGTTGGTTGAAAAAAATCAATACACAACAGACTTGTCTTTGTGTTTTTCATAGGTAATGTGATTTTTTTTATGATAGTAAACTTTTAATTTAAAACACATAAATCATATTACTAATAATCTTTCGCGGAAGCATTCAATAAATAATAACTACGGCGAATCATTACAATTTCAATCTAAACATGGTTGTTAATTATGACATTATAAAAGACAACAATTGATACTACTTACCTAATTAATTATATTGGCACAATTGTTACAATTTAGATTTGTTCATTGTTACCATAATTACTATTTCTACAGGTGGGCCGTATCAACATTGATGTCTCGTCAAAATACCATCCCAAGTTCTGATAATTCTTCAGAGACTGTTAATGCGCTCATACCACTTTGGGATATGTTCAATCATCATAGTGGAAATGTAAGAATGAATTTAAAATTGTTATATAATTTTTACTGGTCGTGTGAATTGTTAATGTTAAGTATTTAAAAACAATATGCAGTGTATTCATACAAATTTTAATGTTAGAACTGCGCATAGATAACAACATTTTTTTGGGTTCCTCTATTAAAATTTTGAAATTATTAGTAAAAATCGACAAGCCAATCGACATTGTTGATGATATGGTTATGTTCTCTATTTGCTTATAAATAAAAATATTCTGACAAAAAGTTTAAGTACGAGGTATAAGTGAAGAATTTATATTTTTTAAACATTTATTTTAAAATTAATTTGTTATAAGTCGAAAATGCAATCCCTTTAAGTTTAAAAAAAAGTCTAAAGTATTTTTAAATTTAAATTTAAATTACATATGTATCAGCATGACCACATTATGTAATGCACTTAAAAAAAATTAAGATAATAATTAAATTTACTCAATAAGGGGTTATAAAGGTCTAATACAAAATCATGGGTGTCTTCGGGAGGGGGCCTGGTGATACAGCCTCTTTATGATGAAAATAAATGTACGGTAATGTATTTTTGACGGGATAGTAAATAAATGTCTAATGCATATGTCCCCAAAACGAAACTCTGAGAACGTCACTGTCCAATGTAAATATTATAAAAAAAAATTCCCTCCTGTAATCATTAGACAAATTTAGCGAACATCTTATAAAACAAAATACCACGTCCAAATTATTAAAACAAGTTTTTTTCCCAAGGTAACTGAGCTGGTGGTATATTATTTATCAATAGGTAACATTTTATACATTATAGAGCATTTCTCTTTATCCACATGATTTTTTGCGACATCGTTGTATCAATACGATCTAACTTTTACATTTGGGATTTGTTGTTTGAATGTATAGATGCAATCGTACCGATGATTATGACTATTATATTAATTTCAGTTGTCTACCGATTTCGTAAAGACAGATAATGTGTGCGTGTGCTATGCCGACCGAGATTATTCAGCTGACGAACAAGTATGTATTTTTTACGGTGTGCGAACAAACGCGGATTTTCTGGTGCACAATGGATTCGTATACACTGACAACGAGCACGACGCCTTGAAAATACGCTTAGGCGTGTCTAAGTCTGATCCATTGTACGGTCTCCGACTACAGTTGCTGCAGACCCTATCATTACCTGCTTTGGCCGAGTTTCCCCTGACAAACGGTTCTTGTCCTGTCGACGGCAAACTTTTGGCATTCGTGCGCATTTTTAATATGGACCAAAGTAAGAACCGCTTTTTTTGTCGTTCAAGTTATCAAGTGGTTGCGTAATTACCATCTGAACAAATTATTATTACTCAATTATAATTATAATTAGGATCAAGTCTCAATTTGATCGGACATTTTTTTTTTGCGCTAATTATTCTGATTATTGCCAAAGTAATTTTAATTTTGTACGAATTCAGATATTTTCTGTAGTATCATCTGATTTCTTAAAATATATTATGATATTCATTATGGGCGTTAGGTTGAACTTTCTACATTCATTACTCTTAGTGGTTGGGTTATTGTCAATTTTTAATCACTTCCGATATGTTTTGGTTTTGTTGTACCTATTGAGCCTACTGAATGGAAGATATCATTATTATTACTTACCGGTTAGGTTATTAATTTTACAAGTCAAAAAACATTCACTTCAATTTTCTAAAAAGAAAACTGGTAAACCTCTATATATTTTCATTGTTTTTACGTTCAATATCTTTAATTATTTTAAAAAATAATTTAGATTTAAAGTCGTGTTATAAAAAAAATATTTATAACTAATTAATTTTTATTTTGTAATTTCTATTTTATGATTGAACCTTTATTTATTTATTATTGATAATTACAGTAAAATAGTTTTACTTATAGCTTATATCTTTTGAAGAAAAACGAGTTTCCTATTTTTCCAGCTATTGTTGTCTAATTATTTGGTTACTTCCTTTTATACTTTTTAGAAACTCTGGAAGAATGGAATAAGTTTGAAGAAAAGCGATGTTTAGACTTAATGCTGATTGATGGATTAGGATCCTTAGACAAAGCTTTTGATATCAAATGCTGGCAGTTTTTTCAAGTTCGCTTGAGTTTATTGATGAAACAATATCCTCAAGTCGAATCCAAGGTTGGTAGATATTTTTATATCATAGTAAAAACATTTTGATCATCTTAAAAATATAATTATAATTATTTATTGCTATATGATTAAGAAATTGTTTTAGTAATTATAATTTTAATAAAATTAATTTATAAAAAACTTTCAACATAAGAAAAAAAAATCGTTTATTCGTTGATATTTGATATATAATCATGATTTTTTTACTTTATTTGATTGACTCAATTTTAAAGACTACTATAATTTACTAAAAAAATTTTTATTATAGCAGTTCTTGTATAAAATATTAAAATTATAGTAAAAATATTCGAAAGTCTAACATATGCTCATCATTAGTTTTTGATGTAGATATATAATCGTTTGTTTTATTATAATTTTGTCTATAAATATTTTTATAGTTTCATTATTTAAGTAAAATAATTTGTTTCAGAATAAACAACCATCAAAGTTCCAACAGCTTGCTTACACAATCATTGAGCTGGAAAAAAATATTCTAAAAAATACTTTAGAGTTTATTCAAAATCGTATTAGCGTGTTGAGCTCGTGAAGAATTTAGTTTTTCATTTTTATTCAAATCCTTGTGTGAATTAAATAAAAGTTTTGTTTGTCTTCATGCTATATTATTGTATGAAATTAAGTTTTGTCTTCGGCTCAGTTCGATGTATTATACTAACAAAAAACTTTGCTCACAGGCCTTTATAAGGTGGTCCAGATTTTTCTGAATGTAGCAGTTATTTAAAAAAAAAAATAACTCAAAATATAAATTGGATGAAAGAGTTTAGAGCATTCGATTCAGTCTTTGTACCTTGCCAGAATAAGTTGGAGCACCCGTATTGTATTATTTTTACTAACTGTTGATATGATAAAAATGTTAAACTTTTATTGATAGCAAATATTGATTATTAACCTAATTTTTAATACTTGTATAAACTATTTTTTTCAAATTTATTAAATTATTTACCCGTTCAGATAATTTCTATTTACTGTTTACATTTATAAAAAAATGTCTTGGAACATTGATATTCTTAAGGAAAATGTAGAAAAATTACAATCATAACTTTTTTATTCTACAAATTCTTTTGCTGGAATACTTTCTAATAATAAAAAGTAAATTATTGATTTATCTGTAAAATCATTCTCTGCCGTATATATTTTTAACATACATAATTTTATAATATAATAATATAATTATAATATTTTTTAATAACTTATTGATAATTATTTTTTTGTTGATATTTTAATTAATAAATTTAAAGAAATTAACACTATAATTTTAACTTTTTTTTGAAATTTAGTCTATCCTGACATTTTAATTACTGTCAAAAATAATATTAATGAATATAACACCATTAATTAGAATGTTTATTTTTGATCTATATGGTAAAAGATATTTTTGTACTATTTGTATAGCAAAATGTAATATTTATTTTGCAAAATATTCCTACTAAACAATAGTACTGTCGAAAATGTTTATCAAAACTATCAAACTGAATATTAGGGAAAATTTCGAGATGAAAGTGAATATATAACAATTATTGAAACAACATGAACATTTATTCTTATTATTAAATAATATGAATAATTTATGTACACTTTTTGTACATAGAGTAACTTATATTATAATTATATGTAAAGTTATACTTGTAGTATATTACACGATAAGCTCTATTTTAGTTACATTGTTTTAACTTCTTTACAAATATAGAATAATATATAAATAAGCTACAAAAAATAAGTTAAAATGTGATTAAAGAAAATATAACCAGTCTTACAGTTAAGTAGAAAATAAATAATTCATGTCTAAAAATAATTTTTATCCATAAAAAAATGACTTTTTAATTGTCTTTTTTAACAATAAATAAATTTGTGGCTACAAAAAAAAAAAAAAAAAAAATGTATAAATAAATAAAATGACAGTAAAATAAATGCATAATAAGGATGAATTTTATTTAACTTTTTCAAACTTCATTAATAAATTCAAAAGCTCTAGCAAATTCATCATAAGCATTGGCACTCATGAGTTGACTTAAAATTTCAGAGGTATCTTGCATAGACCAACCCCGGTCAACTCTTTCAATAGTATCTTGTACTAAGTCCACTCTTATAGCTGAAGATTTTTTATTAATTTTATCACCGAGACTTTGCATTAATAAAATTGATAAAACACCATTCATTTTTTTTAAGTTTTCAATTTCATCAGGATCTTTCCAAGTACTACTTTGATTTAAATCTTTTAACATTTTTGCTCTTTCTCTTAATAACTTATTAATTTTAAAACTTCTTTGTTCACAACCTTTGCATGGAATGAGTACCTGGCAGCATTTTTCTTGTTGAAATGACACTTGTGTCTGAGGAAGTGGGTTGATTAATTCTTTGATTGGTTTGGGTAGTGCATTTTGAATATATGCATTATTATAATTTTGACTTATCACAGATGTTTTAGGTATATTATCTGTGTCTTTTAAATCGGTAACTATAACTACTTCAGCACTGTTTTCTTTGTGCAGTTGGGAATATGAAGATAGATCCACTCTATTAGCTTCATCTTCTGTTACAATAATAATTTCTTCCTCTAATTCTGGCAAATCTTTTTCAAGTTGATGTGATATTTTAGCTTGTTTTATGACTGGTTCAGGTTGAGGTATTGCTTGTAGCATAAGTCCTCCTTGAACAGTTGATACATGAATAACATGTTCATTATTTAATTTAGGACTCTGAATAACAACATTAGGAAGTTGTGTATTGGTTAAATTAATATTGATAGGTTCCTTGAACTTTTTTCTTTTTCTACAGGAAGTATAACAAGTTCCTGATTGATCTTTAGCTTTTATTAATTTTAATTTATCACCAAGCTTAGCATTAGGGATGATATTAGTTGAAAAGTAGTCTGCATATTTAGAATATAAACTGTTATCTATTTTAGTTATATTTTTTTGTTCATCATAGTCAGCCAAAAGTTTATCAACAATTTTTTTTCTTTCCAATCTCAAATCTTGTTCATTTTTTGTACTGACAGATTTTTGTTTTTCATTTACTAAAGAAGGAATAGCAAACTTTTTCAATAATCTGTTCGCTGGATATATCAACTGAAAATATGAAATAATATTAATTTTCTGTAGTAGTTTTAATAACAATTACAATTAATAGTACATAATTTTAAACCTTAAAAAAGTTTTAAAAAATAGTTATTTTTAATATTTTAGAAAAAGATTATTATTAATTCATTTGAATACATCTTAAATTTTACATAATTAATTTATCTAAAAATTACTTCACTATTGTTGTCTGAATAATCATTAGTTTCAAAGTGCTTTGAGCATATTTTAGCATTCGGATTATCTAATAAAAATTGTTTAGGAAGATTGCAAAAAGATAACCATTTTTCTGAAACTTCAGTCTCATTGGGAAAACTATGGAACAAAATATTTTCATTATATTCTAGTACCTCAGCATCATAAATACTATTACAGTTAGATACACAACACTTCACATTATAGATATCAGAAATAGTCTGTAAAAAATAAACATTTTTTTATTATAATATATATTTTTGTTATAACACTACACATTTTATGTGTAGTGTTATAACGCCTTATAAGAAAAGGTGTCCAAATAGTAAGAAAAAGATTTTTATTATTCCAACAATTCATAAAAATTGACCTATTTATTTAGTTATTGAATACTCTGTATATGAAAAGTTGAATAAGTATTATATTAATTAAATAGTCAAAACTTGTAATAAATAAATTATTTTAATTATTATAAACATACCTCAGACATAAAAATATCATTCTTTGATTTATCAACTAAAAAAGTGGAGTTTTCATTATCAATGGTTACGAGTTTTGGTGTTGAATAATTAATATTTATTGATGGAATGGCTGGAAATAATCAAAATTAAAAACGCATTTAAGTAAACAATTATATTAAAATTTTTATACTAATAAGAGTATTTAACAGTGATAATAATTTTAGTATTAACTATTAATATTTTAATTTAGTCAATACTACAAATTAGTCTTAAGAATTGTAAAAAAATTTTATACTTGAAAATAAATAACATTAGCTGAGTTGATACTGAATATAAATTTTGAATTTAAAAATGTACAGGAAAAGAAATTATTTTAGAAAGTTGTTAAATTTTTTCACACATATTTAACTAATAATATTTTTACAGATATTTTTCCAGTTACTTTATATATCATATAATTATATTAACTGAATGAATACTTTGTTTAAATAAAATCACATAATTTTTAATACCTAACAATAAATATCATTAACTCTAATTAAAATTATTTACCAGTTTTCTTAAGTTGTTTTTTAATTTTAATGTTTAGTAATTCTTCTTTTAAACTATTACACTCAAAATCATCAGGAACAAAATGCTCAGAACAAACATAAGAAGAATTCACATTAAATTTTGTTGTTCTCTTAATGACTTGTAACCAAGCATTACGCCTTTGAGGATTCTTGGGGAAAATATGATATGATACATTTTTACCTGCTCTCTTTGTGGCTTTTAAATTATTTCTACAACCCTCTACTGCACACCACGGCATATTCTTAAAATTTTGAGTACCATTTATACCTAAAAAAAAATTGTAAACATATAATTACTTAAATAATAATATATAATCCCCAGTGTGCATTTTAATAGTTTTTACTATCTCTATTGTTTAATTGAAAAATTAGAAATAAATAAGGTATAAATATATCAACATTATAAAATTCTAAGGAAATTAGTGACTTTAATTTCAAAAAATTCTCTCAATTTATTGTTTTTTCAAGTATTCTTTTGGAAAGATTATTTAATTCTTTTAACTATAAAATTTAATAATTAGTTAATACTTTTATTTATTTCTTATATGTAATAATTTTAAACATGAAATATTTTTGTTTTTTTTAGAACTTTATATTCAAATTTAACATATCAGTATATAATATTTGAAAAATTGTATTACTACAAAAACCCTACATTGAATAACGGTAACAACGGTATACTCGTTAAGGTGAATTAAATCAAATAGCTTTAGTTAATTAAGATAACAGAATATGTCATACTACTTTTTTACATCTATGTAAATTTTTGAACTTACCACTAAAATCATGAAAAATTAAGTGTGTTAATTCAAAAAAATAAATGTTACTTCATAGTAATTAGTTTATTATTAATGATACGATTAAAGAATGATAAAAACTGATTAATTTTTTACAGTACTGAATGAGAAATTGAAAAATTAACTCAAAAAATTAGACCGCTCTTATTAATTACCTCAATGACGCAAACATGTTAAATTCGAAAATGTTAATGCTGACGTCACATCATTTCATTTTTCAATTTTTATCAAAAAATAATATTTATTAAGATAAAAAGATAACAGCTAATATTATCAATGAATCTACAGTAAACGACTCACGTGTGTTACATTTTATGTATGACTCTAAATAGTGTTCTTATATAATTTTCTCAATATTGAATCAGAACCTGTTGTGTAAGAAAATGAATTTTTCATAATTTATTTTTTAATCAGTATATAACTATCTAAAAGAGAATTTTAAATAAAATATTCATGCTTATTTTGCATTTTAGAATAAATGGTTGGATTAAAAAAAAAGCATTTGTTTGTTACAAATACTTATTTTACTTTGTAATTATTCTTTATCTAAGTAAAATACGTTCCATAAGTACATATTTTCTAAAAAAAAATTATAAATTAATTTCCGTTTTTATATATTTTGATTGAGTCAAATCCAACATGAGTGTCGTTGTCGAAAATAATGAAAATATGACTGATTTTGGAAGTGCTACCAAAAATAATTTTCGTTAGTAAAACTTAATTTTTTTTTTTTGATGGTATATTTTATTCTCGAATAAATTTCTAAGCAAGTTGATCGGTTATTCTTAGGTCCAAGTAAAAAAGTAATTTATGAAGGGCTTCATGAAATAGATGTTGGTATTACGGAATATTCTACATCTGTTCCCGGTATATCTGCTATTCTAAAACACAGGTTGATCATATGAATTATTTTAATAATTAAAAATATGTAATAAAATAACAATTTGTATCTTTAGATTATCAGATTTTCAAGTAAATGAAATTGATTTAGATGGAAATGTCATAAGGCTTAACAGCACAACTGTTCCTGAAAAAGAGGCAGAAGTTTTTGAACCTAAAGGTTTGACAATCATTTCAACTAATGTTGTTTAGAGAATTAGATATTTTGTAAATTTTGAATTTGAATAATTTATTTTTATATTTAAAACAAAAATTTGTCTCATTGAACTACAGAATTATTTTAAAAACTGAATTTTACTAATCTTTAAGATTTTTATGTTATTTTTTTTCTTATATTTTCTTAACTTTTAAAAAATCCCTTCTTTTAAGAACATTTAATTTTAAATATTTTTCATATCATTTTCAAAAATATTTAGTTTTAAAAATATACTATGAGTATATTAAATTCTTTTAAATTGATCCCAAACTTAATAAAGCTATTTTTCTTACAAAATGTAATTCTAAAAAAAATTGGTAGTTAATAATAATACTTTATTATGAAATAGAATTAAAAAAACAAAAACTTTTTATAGATTTCATTGATTCAACGGGACTGTGTAGTTCTTACATCAATGATATTGATGACTTAATTGTTTCAAAAAGTACAAGACAAATAGAAATTTGTGTAAGTATAAAGCAACTTCATTTTAAACGTTAATTTTCTTAATTAATGAAATTATGAATAGGTTGATGGTTTAACCAAAGAAGAACGTACATCAATGCATAAATTTTTTTCATCCAAATTTGGTACTAAAATAAGTACTAGTACCATCAATAAGGCCCCAAATAAACAATTTATAGTTATAAAATTAGCTAATCTTGTTAAAAATGGTAAATATTAAACATTAAAAATTGATGAAATCACATTGATTTTATTTTATTCCAATATTTAAAAAAATTTAATTGAAAATAATAAAACCAATAGTTACATATTTAAACTAACAGTAGAAAAACATTTTTATCCTGTAAAAAATTTTTACTTTGAAAATATTTCTGAAAATAATCAATATTTTTCATAATTTAAAACATTTGAATACTAGTTTATGAATACTTATTTATTCAATTTTTCTACTTATTTATATTAAAAAAATACTTATGTAATTTTTAAATTTATTTTGAGTGTAAGTTTGATAATCTTAATATTTATTACTTTTTAGAAAGACAATCATGGCCAAAAAGTCGTCCTGAATATTTACATTTTGCATTACACAAATGTAATATGGACACTACACAAGTTGTGAGCATTCTGTCTAAACAATTGAAGTAATTTTATTTTTATTATCTTGTGTAAAATATTTTTGATTATTATTATAAGCAATAGCTGTTAAAATCGTTTGTTGTCAAAATTATGTTAAGAATATTAATTTTATTAAAAAAATTGTTAAATATTGATCCCTATTAACTTGATGAGTCATTTGAGTATTTTAATTTAAAAAGTTAATAAAATAGTTGTTTATTTTTTTTAAATTATTTTTTATATTGCTATTTTTAGAGTTAAAGTCAATATGATCAAACATGCTGGAACTAAAGATAAGCGAGGAAATACAACTCAAATGATGTCTATTCGTAGAATTGAAGCCAATAAATTAGTTAAAGTTAGTGCAAGAAATGTATGGATTGGAAATTATGTGTATAAAGATGCTACTCTAAAATTAGGTGACCTTAAAGGAAACAGATTTAATATGGTACTTAGGTAACAATAAATAAAATGTATATAAATAAAATATTTTAAGAGATTATCAAAATGATTACATAATTACTATAAATATTTATTTATAGTTTTTCTAATTTATAACAATATTATATTAATAAAAAAAAATCAAAAGTTTTATTAAATTTAAGGAATATAAGTGCTAACAACAATGATGTTACAAAAAATATTGAGTTATTAAAAACAAATGGTTTTATTAATTATTATGGTCTACAAAGATTTGGTAGTTCAATGGTATCCCCTACATATGTAATTGGCAAATCATTAGCATGTGGAAATTTTGAACAAGTAATTAACTTTATTTCTATTAAAGTTTTTTCTTGTGTATTATTAGTTAATGGATCTTTTAATTAATTTCTTATGTGCATTGATATTTATAGGCTATTGAACATGTGTTAAAACCAAGACCCATGGAAAGCTCTTTTGAAACAGACCTAGATCGTGCAAGAGCTGTTTGGTGGGAAACTAGAGATCCAAAGAGTGCAATTCAACAATTATCAAAAAAAAACTTCACCATTGAAGCTAAAATATTGAGATCCTTAGCATTCAACGGACCAAAATCTTATGTCAATGCTTTCCAACTGGTATTAAATATTACTTATGCATCACAAAATAATATATTTTATTGAAAATGAATTTATTCAAATGTATATTATTAATTACTGGTTAATGGTTAGCTTTAGGTTTACTTAAAATGTGTCTTTAAATTGGACATTCGTGTACTTTAATGTTAGATTATTAATTTATGAATAAAAAAAACTTTCCAATGTGATACCAATAGGTATAAGATGTTGTTGATGATATTTATTCTTGTGATAAAATATCATTCTTCTTCTATATCAGTTCATAAATATGATTTTCAATGTGTTAGTTATATTTTAGTTAGCAAATTTTATATTTTAAATATTAAGTCTTGACTTATAATTTTTAATTTTAATTTATATTATTAATCAATATTTAGTATGAATATTTTTTTCTTTTATAAGTAATAATAATTAAAATGATATTTTATAGATTCCAAGGAATTTAGTAATGCTGTATCTGCATTCATATCAAAGTTTATTATGGAACAAAATTGTATCTCGGAGGATCAAAGAATTTGGTTTAAAACCAATCATAGGGGATTTAGTGCTTGTAGAAAGAGAAATCCATGAACAAATAGTAGAAGTCATGGAAGATGAAGAAGTTGAAGTTGAGCAAGATGATAAATTTCCTGATGTCACTGCTATTACTGAAGAAACTTTGGAAAATTACAGTATTTATGATGTAGTATACCCTTTACCTGGTTTTAATGTATGTTATCCGAATAATAAAATTGGACAGTGGTATACTGAAATTTTAGCTGAGGATGGCTTGACTTCAGAAAAATTAATGAAGAAAGATAAGTATGTGACTTTATCGTTAGTATTTATTTAAATAATCATATTATTTGTAAGTATTTATAAGTAAAATATGTTTATTTTTTAGACTTTTTTCACTTAAAGGTACTTATAGAAAATGTGTCTCAAAAGCAAGTGACATTGTTTGGTCTATTGTAAATCATAATGACTTAAATGATGATTTATTACTGTCAGACCATGAAAAACTAGAAGGAAAGAAACCATTTAAATCTGTACTTGGTAGTTATAATAACTATTTATTTTTTCAAGTATAATTTTAATTTTTTTTATTAGAAGGCAAATACAGATCATTATTAATTGAATTTTCTCTTCAATCATCAAATTATGCAACAATGGTTGTTAGAGAATTGACTAAACAAGATACATCATCACATTCACAAGCTTCCTTCGCTCAAGTATCGGAAAAACATAAGATAGTCGATGAAAATATAAATACAAAAAAACCAAAACTAGATGAATCTTAAAACAATTAATTAAAATAAAAAAAACTTTATCAATTATTTATGACATTTAACATGGCGTTCCAAGTTAATCTTCTTACTGAAATTTCGTCCACAAATGTTACATTTGTGTGGCCAATGTCCAATATGAGATGACATGTGACTTCTTAAGTTACCTGGCGTTGGATATGATTTGGTACATAGACTACATTTGTGTGGTTTTTCCTGTAGTCACAAAAAAATGTCAATTTTTTAGTCAACTACAATTAGTAGAATACTATATAAAGGTCTATTGGGTCAGGTATGGAAATTTTAAATGAACCAACGGCCCATATTCATGTTTCTCTTTTCTACCTTAAAATGAGTCATTCGATGATAGTATAAGTTTGAACTAGCTGTGAACGTTTTTCCACATAATGAACATGCATGCGGACGTTCTCCGCTGTGAATGCGCTTGTGGGTGTTGAGCGCACTCGAAGTAGAAAATGCTTTCTTGCATTCGGGACACGCGTGTGGACGTTCGCCTGTAAAAGTATATTTTATTTCACGTCGAAACATCTGTTTGCATTTATTAAGACAATTATTGACGGAAAATTGTACCTGTATGAGTTCTCAAATGTCTTTTTAGCAACGATGGTCGATCGAAACCTTTAGTACATATTTGGCAAAATAATCTGTACGGTTTTTTTAACTTGGCTAGAGCTGATTTTAACGAAAGGTCCAGGGGCTTTAGATCGTCCAACTTACCTTAAAAATAACTATAATATCAATCAACCGTTACACTCACTATTGAATTAATTAAATTTTAGAATTTTCATGTACAGTTAAATTGAACGAAGTTTTCTTGAGCCATTCCCACAGTTGTACATCCGTTGTGCCGTATTACTTAAGTGATACGCGAGTCAATAACTCACTTGTCTTATACGTGTCGCTTGGCACCGACACCTATCAGAATATTATGACAAATGGTTCTAGTCGGTGCTTAACTCTTTTTCACCCTATTCTCTCACAAATTCAACGACAGGTTTGCTAAACAATGAACTGTTTAGTTTACTTGAGGAACAATATATTCAACTTCGAGTACTTTATGTTACTATGTAACATGTATTAATGTATCAACATATTAACGCAGGCGTTTTATTATTTATTAATAAAATTAAATACGTACTCTTATAACAAATTTTTTACAAAACATATAAAAATAATAACAAACGAGGAACATTTATCTACACTTATTAGTAACCCTGTCTAACGCTCCACTTAAAGTTTCCCTGTTTATCCGTCTTGACAAAACTAAACACTGGCATTGGTTCTTCTTTAATTTCCCCTTCTTCTTTAGCGTCGCCGGATTGACGTGTTTCTCGTTTATCGACATTATCTTCTTTGCTGTTAAAGTCCAACTGTCTCTTTATCCTAAACGACGTGTGCACTACATGGTCAGAAACCGTGCCTTGAGATAATGGGTTGTCGAATTGTCCAGTGAACGGTACGTGGAACCCATCGTTCAGATGATGGTGACTGTTGAAACGATAAGTATTGGGTTCGCCGAAAATGGAAGACGGCCTAAGCGGCTGCTGGGCCGCTTTTGGTGTGCCCCAGTATATATTGTTGTTGGACGGCGCTTGTCGCACGACAGCGTCCTGTGTTGTAAACTTTGTATTGGACGCCGACGGTGCCCCGTCGAATCCCAAAAATCCGAATGGCGGTGACTTGAAGTTTCGTAGTTGGTGCGACTCCAGTTGAAGTTCGTGCGGATTACTCGAGAAATGCGGGGAGGCCCCTACGACATCGGGACCACCCGAAACTGGGGGCGTCAATATCTCGTTTGCGTCAAAACCCAACTCCCATCGCCCGTTGTTTTGTTGCTGTGATTGCTGGTGATCGTGTGTCAAGGTCGGTGTGAACGGTGTAAACTGTTCGATCGGCTGACTCGCAAACGTCAGGCTCTGTACTTGATTACTCGATGCCGGCGTTTGCACCAGTTGCGGATTCTGTAGCACTGGCTGGGACAGTGCCGAGTTTGGAGTGAACGGCGAAGTGGCTTGCACGATTTGCGGCTGTATCGCGGACACTAATTGAGGGCCGCCGACACTCTGCTGTTGCGATTCTTGAGGTTTTAAATGTTCCGTCTGGAAGTTTTGAAAAGTGAACTCGACATTTGGCGGCGTCAAGTAGTCGGTGGGCATCCGGTCAACGGTCAGATCTACAGTAGACGCCAAGTCCAATGGTTGTGCACCCGACGGTCCGTTAAACTGATCCGCTTGACCTCCTATTCTGGCCACAGTGTGTGTTATCGGCAAGTTTTGCCGTCTACCTCTCAATAGTCCTAAACACAATAACGCTTAATTAACTAACAGTATAATGAAAACCGTAATAGTTTAAGTTTCACAGTTGATTTTATCGTCGTCGATTAGCTTTTTTTTAACGATATCTCGCGATTTCCATCCGGTCGTTTTCGTCGAGATCTTATCTGTCCCGAGTAACGAGTTAATTTAATTGGTTTAAAGTTCAAACGTCGTTATAACGCGGTTGCAGTGGGAAGCTACTGAAGCGCAAGAGAGTAAGTTGAAAATGTACGAAAACGTATTTTGACGATGTTTGATTTCGTGTTAAATTGTCCGTCTAATTGAATCGCGTTTTCGTATTAACTTCAAACGGTTCGTTATGTCATCGCGCCCACACACATCAATGTTCGGTGCACAACAACAATGGGAAGCATTGTACGATTTATTTGTCCGCTTTAAACGCACCGACCGAGTCTGTTTAGAAAACAACATCATCATAAAACGATTTGCGTTGGTTTTCTATATTACAACGACCGAATGTGCGACCGACGACACGGTGTTTTTTCGACCGTCTGTGTTTTGCACGGCCGACTGTAATGAACCGACAGATTTCAGTAATTTCCTTGGGCCCGCACAGAGATACACAGACTCCATTGGCCATGAGATTTCTCTAGCCAATTGGATTGCGCAACGCGCACACCGTTCGGGTTGTCTGTGACACATAATTTTCCCGGAATATTCGTCCGGGTGTCGTGCAGTTTTATGGAAATTACAGTTTTTTACACGCGTGCGTTGGAAAACTCAACGTAGTCGACACTTATGATCGCACTGCGTACTACTTACCCGTCTTACCGTCTCGTTCGATCACATATATTTTCTTTACTTCCAGAGAGTGCACGGTGATCGCGGAGACTGCCAGGTGCACCTAAAACATAAAACGAGGCGTGTGATTTTTTACCGTCAACTCGATCGGAGTTCGTAAAAGTCTTTGTGGTCGAACGACGAATCGTCAGATCAAGTGCAGACATTTTAACCGCCCGAGAAAATGATTTTTCCGCATTCGCCGTCTGCGGTGCTCGCCGTGTTTTCCTGATGTCATTCTTTCACACGTTTAATGGAAACCGTCACTAATACACGTGCACGCGGTTTGACATTAGGGAAAGTGGTCGCCATATGGACACGCGAGGAGGCTACATGACAAACAGATCAAGTGGAAATTGTTGAAATTAATAACACGCCGTCTCGAGGACCTGCTGTTTCGATACTATTGTGTACAGCCCTCGTGACGGTCACAGCGCGCGCAATACAATCGGCAGAGTTTTTATTTTTATTTGGAAAATTACTAACTGGGTATGGAAAGTGAAATGGCCGCGCGAACGAGGTACACGCGTCACAACTTGTTTACTCGAGAAATTGTAAAAAGCCAAAGGTAATATTTAGCAATTTTATACAGTTTTTTTTTAGATTTGTTTAGAAAATAATTAATTTTAAACCGATAAAAAAGAAAACTTTATCTTCGCTCGACTCTCTAACTATCAAATTGTCGTTAAAAGTTGTATCGGTTTGTTTACTAATAGACGAGACAGTTTTTCTCCGTTTAAATCAATTAAACAGTTCCGATAAAAAACCGCATGTTTAATAGACCGTTACGAAAACCAACGAATTGTGATCGTTTTGAACGTTGTCTTTAAACGTCACTTTTATTTTCTATAGTTAACAGTATTGTTTTAATTAACCGATACGAGTGTTCATCAATCGTACAACCGTGTGGATATTGTAATGAAAAAATTTACTTACCAAAACAATGTCTAAAAAGTTCATGTTGTTATGAGAAATCAAGTGGACAACGTAAAACTAAAATCAAGTGAGTAATTTACGAGTCAAGTTGCAACAAGATCACACTTGCTTCGACGAGTCCTGCGAATAGATTGCCATTAAAGCGGACACTATTGTAGGACTGCACGGGCCAGTTTCTCCTGCATTTCCCCTCTATTACGCGTTTTATCCTAATGTCAACACACTATACTGTTGCCTTTATTAACCGAAACAAACAATAGTTTTTCAATTATCTGATAGTATTTGTATTTGCGAGTACGTCTCGCTATTCAACGAGGATAATCATAACTCATTATGGACGAGTATCATATTATTATTATTATCTTTCATAACGATAATTGCCGCCTTACATTAGTACATGAGCCGTATCAAAGAGTTGTTTATAAAAATACAAAATTCTATTTAGGATTTATAACATCTTAGTCTAAAAGCCAATATTTTTTAATAATCATGTAACTATAATTACATTAGTTTGTTTCGAATTCCCTAAAGGTATAGCCGAGACGCGATTACATTTTCTTTTTACTCGCCTTAAATTTAAATAGTGTGTATAATAATTAAATATTAAGCAACCTCAATAAAACCGTCAAGACGAGTTGTACATTTAAGGTAAATTTCGGGATTTATTTAATTTTTTGTTCTCAAATTATTACTGATATTAAAAACGACTTAAAATTATTTATCATTATAAAATAGTTTTCTTTCTGTCCCTTTATTTAATATTTTTTCTAAAGATCTTAAATTTTATAAATTTAATGTATATTTCCTATCAACCAAATGAAAATTTCTTCAAAGAACTGCCTGTTGTAAATGCTCAAAGTCGGGAGATTTTTTTTTTTTGTAATATAACTAGTATAGTGTAGACTAAATACAAAGACTAAGCAGAGTCTGCAATTCTTCCAGAAAATTAAATGATTTTTCATCGACCTTAATTTTGACGACGCCATCAAAAGTGGAAATTGAAACATAATTCTTAATGCGTATAAATTATGTAACTTACTTGAGCCGTGTAATTTGAAAATCAACGACACATTCATCTGATTCTTTGTGTTCACGGGACATAATTAACCGTTGCCATACTCAATTCTCGACGTGTCAGTGAAGTTATTAGAACTCTCACGTTTGCGTGGAATTTCAAAATCAATACCGTCTCTGAATGCCAAATAATTAAATTTGACACACACTCATATACATACGTGTTTTTAAAAAGGGCTCGATGGTCAGTTGGATATTATAGTCTTTGCTTTGGTGTAATAAATAATTTTTTTATAGTAGAAATTTCTATATATAGATTTGAAATTTCAAATAGTTAATTTATCAAAACCATAATTAAACAAATCTTATTACTTATGTTGTTTGCAGTGAAAGTAACAGTTGTATTTTCCATCATTTTCATTGTGGTCGAAAAAAAATATTAAAAAGAGAGTATCACCGCCCGTAATAACGAAACGCCACCTGAAATTGTGTAGATTAACTTATTAATTTCCCGACCATATCAAATGAGGTGTTATACAGTCTATCATATCAGGTATTACATTATTATCTATTCTATTAATTTATCATTACGTAGTCCGACAAATAATGAGCACTACCATCTCGTGTATCCATAGCACTACTTTGGATAAATCGGACGGGTTTTCTTTTTTTATGTAATGTTTTTGAAATGGGTGCTACTTTTTTTCTGTACAGTAATTTTAAATGTAAATTAATTACAATCGATATTTACTATTTACTTCAATTTATATGTTTACTCTTGATTATTTAATCTGTTTTTTAAGAGATTACGGTCCAATCAGTTTCAATGTAGATAAAAATTAAACAACAATATTATAAAACATTATTAGTAATTTAATTAATAAATTAATACAGATAATTTATTAAAACGATGGCATAGACCCAATCACACACACACGTAAAAATAAAATAACAAAACCACAACAGTGAAATAAATTGCACATAAAACATTATTTATCATCGAACGGTTTCAGCAAATATTTCTGTCCGGTTGATTCATCTAACACCACACCAGTTCTCATATCAAACACTAATACGGGCGCAGACTTAGGATATTCTCTGTCACCTTTATAAGGTGTTGTTTCTAATGGCTCCATAGGTTTTTTCTTGTAATTGCTGCGAATTATTCTGTTAGGTCTCCTCATCATCACCTTATGCCTTTTCACATATTTTACATATGGTTTGTAAATTATTGGCCTAGGGCGACTTTCCTAGAATATAAGATTTAATTTTAGTATGTCTATTCATCAAAAAATAAGCTCAGAGTTATATTAAAGCGTAGTTTATCAATAAAAAGTTTCACCTGAGTAGATTCGGGCTCGTTTTTCAAGTCATCCAATTGATCGCCAATGTTTTGCCCCTAAACAAAAACTTATAGTGTGATTTAAAAAATCGTATCTTTTTTTTTTTACTTACATTATCGTCATATGTTGATTCTCCAATATTTCCGTGGTTAAAATCCCAATACTGTTCACCATATCCACCATCTTTATCACCCCATTTGACCTACTCAAATCAGTTCACATTTTTTTTGTAAAATAATTTAATATAATATACATAATAATTCCAGTAAAATGACGACCTTAAATTTCAAGAAAGACTTTCAGTTTTAATTATCACATGGTTATAGTTATTTTTACGTTAGTTAATTTTCATCATCAGAATTCTCAAATTTTATCATAAAAAAATAATCATTTTAAATAAAAATCTTTTAAGTTTAATTAATAATTATTAACTATCATCAAAAGTAGCATATAACGTATCTTAATTTATGGAAATATTTGTTTAATACATGGATGATAATCTAATTACCTTTCCTTGATGTCTATGATCATCAAAATCTTTTTTTTCGTATCTCTGCTCCCAAACATTTGGATCTTCAAACACATGTCCAAATTCTAGCTGATTAGGACTACTTTTCAATGAATAAGCATCCCTATATAATGCATCATATTAAACCGTTAATACATAAAATAAAGATAAAAGGAAATTTAATGAATAAAATTTTTTTTTGATTATTATTAAAAAATTAATATTACATAAAGTGTTTGTTGTCTTTTTCCACTTCTTCGTCCTCTTCTTCCACTTTCGCTTTTATTTCATCAATAACATCTTTATCTAAGGAATCATTAAAATTAATCAGTCGTTGTTGGTTATTCTAACGAGTATATATTAACTTAATTGAAGAAATCTGCTAATAATTTTCATCATTTTTTACGAGGACCAGGCAAATATTAACTTTTAGGATTTGCCTAAATATAATAAAAAGTTATGTAGGTAACTTTAGATACAATATTATATCAAAGTTATTGTATGTCCTAATTGTTTTAAATTTTTTTATTTTTAGTGACATATGAGCATTTTCTTTAGTACCAAAGAAAATGTTAAATTTGGTATATTTATTTCCTAGTCAATAAAATATTGCTGAAAAAATTGACTGTTTTCAATTATAAATATTGATTTTGTTTTCGTGTACGATTATGTAAATTAATTTATACATTTAATGTATGTAATTTTATATTAATACATTTATAAATATGTTAACAATAAAAAAATGTATTATAAAAGTTAATAAGTTGATAAAATTTAAGTAGCAACTATGAAATTAATAGTAATATTAGTTATATCTTTTTTGTGGACGTTTGTTAAATGTAATTTCACATTTTTAGTTAAATTTTAGTTCTAGATAAAATTTTGTCATAGACAATATTTTAAATGGAATATTGTCTTTTCTTCAAAAGCAGTTTTTTTTTAATTCTATTAAAAAGTATATATTAAAAGCAATATATGGTTTACTCACTTTTAAGTTCATCGTTATTGAGACTAGGTGACACTGTAATCGTGGACGCCATATGGTGACTGGCCTGTATGTGTAAACCATTATAAAATTATAAAAACTTATTCATTATTTACATAATCTTACTATGATAAACTTACTATAATCAGTAATAAGCTACAGTAGTAGAAAAAATCAAATGTTATAAGCCAACGTTTTGTCTTCATATTTTAAATAATAAAATAAAATTTTTACTACGTTTACTTAAAATTAATATTAATGTAATAAGTTAATGTTTTATTTAAATAAATATCAAATATCTTATTAACAGTACGGTTGCGGGTACAATACTGAAACTGATCGCCGGAAAAACGGTTATCACGATTATGGTTTTCCATCAGTAGCAATTACATGGCAAATTTCCCGTTCAATAATCGCCTAGTGTTTTCACGTGTAACCATTTCACTAAAAAAATTTCGATTGATCTTTGCAACAATTGTAGCCGCAAATCAAATAAGACAAGCACAGTATCCGGACACAAAATTGTTTATAAAATGCATGTTAAAGAAGATACTTTGAATGAGAGCATACCAAAAGAGTATTGAGGTAATTGAATCACTATGTATCAATACTTTCATAAATACTTTTATTTTTTAATTAGTAATATTCTATTTGAAAAGGTTCTCAATCGAATATGCTAATGATTAGGATACCAGCTATTTTACAAATATACAAATATCGAATCATAGCGCCTATTTGTATTCTAATTAGTATAAAAATGATCTCCAAAATATATTCTTCTCTTTTAAAAAATACTAATTAACGTGAGTAGAATTTTAAGTTTTAAAATAAAATCATACTAGGGAAATATACAGTAAATTATAATTTCCATGTACTGACCAAGTCTCCTTGCTTTCTCCAATTAAAAGCCTACACTTGAAACATACACATTTTGATTTATTATAGTCCTACAGATAAGAGATCAATCGATGTAGTTAATCAGATTTTTCTTTATAGGTTAGGTTTAGATTTAAAAATATCAAAACAATTTATGCATTTTACATAGACTAGTTTTACTTAAGATTACGATACTCATGTGTTTTAATAAAAAATATACAATGTATACAACGTCTATAACATACATAGTCATATCATGTATACATTGTCTAGTCATAAGTTCTTACATGACTTATACTCTAAATAACTCGCAAAAGAAAAACATGGTAACTTTCAAACAAACCTAAAATAAGCTTTAGCAGTATATCTAAGTTATTTTAAAAGTTCCTCTTAAGCTAACACCATCTGCCAAATAAATTATTATTCGAATTTCTATGTATTCAAAAAATCTTCTTGTTCAACATCTTAATCTTATTCTATGGCTCTTGGTAGTAAGATGAACAGGTTCAAAAATAGCATAATGAAAATGATCTTTTCATAAATTTACATATGACTAAAGTCCTTAAGGAATCTTCGACTTAAATTCCCATTATAATCAATATTGAGTTATTTTTTGTAGGGATTCTAGTTTCTTTATACGTTCTAAGCAAACTATATTACGTACAGTATGTTCTTAAAGTAAAAACACACTGATTTTAATATACAGAGTATTTATAAGGAAAAACAATGCTATGTTATATACAGTGTCTTTAAAGCAACATCAATACTGTTTTGTATACAGGTATCTTTAAAGTACAAAAAACCATGTTATGTTGTTAATTACTGCGTTTTAAAATGTACGGTGTAAAATAAAGCAGTGCCGTCGTTATGATTTATAAGGCTTATAACTATGTAAAATATATAAGTGCGGTTGCATTTTCGTACAGTCCTCGTGGCTGCACTGAACTCAAGTACCAAATAAACTATTTTACATTATCTAAATACTTTTAATTGACAATTGGCGACATAGGTAGCAAAGGATAATCAAATAAATTCCAGTAGAAAATTTGAGAAAACATAATAGTAAAATCCGATATCTTATAAATTTTCTATCAAAAACATGATTTATCGCTGTTACTCATAAATTATGTAGTCTTAAAAGTTATGAAAAAATTTTAGCTTAATAATCAAAATATCTAATAAACTTAAATATCTTGTCTTCAATGCAATTTTAAAATAGAAACCTATAAATTACAATTTCTCATGTGTATCGTGGATGCATGAAACATAAATTTATTATTGTTATCTCATTGTATAGTTAATTAGCATAAATACTGTATAGTTACTGGGGTCGCCGACTAATCTCGGCCACAGCTAAACAAACACACTGTACAGGTACGCGGATCAAACAAAAGACAATTAACCAGTTTAGTACTCTTAATTAAATCCTTGATGACATGCTAAGGGGGAAGAAATAAACGAATGAGACATAACTGGTTTTTATGGGAACGTAGAGGGTTGGTTTAAATAGTTATTAGAGACAAAAGTATCTCAATGGATTTGACCATTGCTGTAACATGATCATTAATTATTGGAAATTTTTATATTTTTTTTATGTCAACAGCAGTGGTGTTATTTGAATTATATAAAAAGGAGAAATAATTACGAATAATATTCTTACCATTTCAAAAAAATAATAATTGAATATATAATTTTCTCAAACAGGATTATCAGAAACTCAATGTATCCTCCCCTAAGATTACAACATCTTAGAAGGATAAAACAATACTAACTTAATAACTAATATGAACAAATTTATTACTATATTGAAAATTTATTGCGTTTAAAATTGCATTTAAATCAAAAGTTTAATAAAGTCATAAAGTATTTTACTATACTTTTGTAAAGGATATTAAGTTTTCAAAAAATTCGGAATGCCCTGTAATACTACCTAACTATTAAAAATTCAAAATATTTCATTAAAAAGTTTGAAATTATTGAAAACTTAATAATTTACAAGGTAGATAATTATTTGTGCATTATAAAATTTAAAAATTATACGCACACATTGAGTTTTTTTTAACTTACATAAATATAACATTATAATTAAATATTTATTTTTAATTAAACATTTTTATAATATATAAAATCATAGATTGGCAAAATTTAAACGTATTAAATCTTATCATTTAATTTTTGGACAAAAATGTATCTGAAATCCTTTTTATACATAATTCCATTCATTTTTTTTAAACATACAATAAAAAATCAATATCATTAATGAATAGCATGAACACTTTAATACAAAAATGTTTTTGGTAGAACACTACATATAAGACGTGTAAGACAAAGAGAGTTTATTTAAATTAGGCAATATGATAACCAAAGTTGAGAACGGTAACAGGCTAACTTTAAAAATAAAATACAACAATATTATACATTTTTTGGTTATGCAATATACAATGGTTGGTTAAGAGTTATCATTCATTTTACTTAAGATCGCATAAAACGAGCTAACCAAATTTAAATAATGATGACCGCGAAGTTTATTTCATCTTAACAAAGACCATGGTCTTGTATTTTATATGATAAAAGCTTCTCTAAGAATATTAAACGAATAGTAAGTTAAATATGATAAAAATATTGATTTACTAATAAAGAATAAATGCCATAGATTCACTTAAAAAAAAATAAAATGCGAATAATGTCGAGGAGTTTATTCAATAAAAGGTCTAAAAAGATATATTAGATAGATTTGTTTTGAAATTATAAAAACGTCATTTATTCCTTAAAAAAACATTCTACATTCTATACTTTTAATCTATACATTCATGAATCATATATAAAAATAAATAAATTGATTCATCTGTATGTATACAATTAGTTAATATATATTTACTATGAGTCGTTTGTTACGAGATTTTTATACTAATATGTTTCACTAAATCAATAACTGCAATGTTTAATATTTATACACATATAATTATTTAATATTTTATAAATTACCGTTTGTACAGTATTTTATATAGAATACAATTGCGTTAACAAGTGATTAAAAATTGTTAATTAAAAAGAAAATCAAGTGAACGCTTATTTTTGAGTGAAGTTTATTTTTCTTGCAATAAATGTAGAAAATAAAGGAAAAATAATTGTTTTATGACGACATGCCTTTCTGCATTCGTTTGGCCGTATGGAAGTCATATAAATCTGTTGAACGGGCCACCGAGCACGTTCCAACTTATAGTTATAATCTATAAAACCCTCGTGATCCTTTGCTGTGATAATTCTACGCACGCGGTTTTCTATCGCGGTGAGACTCGAAAGACATAAAAAAAAATCGTTTTGTAAATCCTTTCAATGTTTACGCTGGCTCAGGTAATTCACGAGGGAATTATAATACTACAAAGTCCCTTGTTTTCGTGCGACCGTTGGTCACACAACGGACTGCGTTTTCATCGTCTAGGGGGGGGAGCTTTGTGCGGGTACTGTTATGCGTCGGATACTGGTTTTATGACAAATGGTGTGCCGCGTTTCCTTCCGGACCGCCGCCGCAACAGTGTGTCCCACTAGCGGAAACCGGTTTTCCGTGAATAGAAAAACGCGTGAAGCCTCAATGTTTACGGTCACTGTAATAAATCACCAAACAACGGGACCCGGAACACTACCCCTTCGACTTTGCATATAATTACAAAGGAACACATAAAATAAAAAGGGTAGTCCACTGTACACACGCAGGGTGCACGTCTCGGATGTCTTAAATACCTGCGGTGCCTAATCGAGTGTTATCTTACCATGTGATCGGACATCAAATTATCAATTGTGACTAGTTTCGATTTTGACTGGTAACATTAAAAAATGCAATTTCGAAACTCGACATTAAAAGTAAAATCATGTGTATTCTGGACAAGGTATTGCACACTTAATAGTATTTTGGTTAAACAACAACATTGGTCGATAAAAATTCAAACAAAGAGAAATAAATTTTATTTCCATGTAAATAAATATGATATGAGATCGAAATGAACAAACGAACAATTTTATTTAATATTTATTTGTGCAGCTTTTTAGTATACCGCATAATATAATCTTTAGTTCAATGTATAGTATTACGTTTACTTAAGTGAGTTTACAGTTAATGAGAAAATATCAGTAAATTAAAATTTATTTTCTGACGATCTGATTAGTTATACAGTTTTTTTTGTTGTAATAATATTATTAACGTTGTTGATTAATTAATTATTTTATTTTTTTGCATTGGAAATATTTAAATTATTCGAATGCTCTACCTAAGAATATTAAAAATAATATATTTTCAAATAATGACATCAATCATTTTTATAGACAAAAAGAAACATTATTGACTTTGTGAAAAATTTTATATAAGCTTATTTCAAGTCTGATATTTCTTAACTTTTCAAGCCGATTGATAAATCATAAAGGTTTATCTCATAAACGCATTTCCATCAGAAGTATTGAATACAAATCTAAGGGGTTTATAATATTTTTTGAATTCCATTTTGGTATCTCTTACATGTTCTTGATAAATATCCATTATTCTTAGTAGTAGTCTAAGATATTTCCAAGTTTCGCAAGATATTTGATCTGGAAATCAATCATCGCAATGTCGATGTCATATATACTTTTTTAAAAACCTAAGCGATTTTAGATATGACATTTTTTAATTTTAATTTTATTTTCCTTTTGGATACTTCATTATTTACAAATATTTTTTCAAAAACAATACAGTTGTTCTGTAAATCAACCACTGAATGATATATTTTTTTTTGGATATTGAATAAACTCCTCGACATTATTCGCATTTTATTTTTTTTTTAATGAATCTATGGCATTTATGATTTTATTGTTTGTATACTGCATAACTAAAAAGAGTAAAATATTGTCATATTTTAGTTGTAAAATTTTTTTTTTTTGACAATTTTACCACTATAGTTTTTGGGTTTCGTATCACTTAAAATTTTTTTATCTAACCTTATTACAACATTGCCAAAAATAGTTTTGCAGTACTATTTCCATGTGTGTTATATGTAATAATGAAATTGGTAATCTTTAAATAAAAATTAAACAATGAAATGAACCAATTAAAACTATGCTATGCGTTTGTAAGAGACATTTGCCAAGGGCACAATTATATTAAAAACGCAATTTCAATGAGTGGAAGATTAATTCAGTTATGATGATTATTGACGCACAAATTTTTGTTTTTTTTAATAAAGAGCTTTTTGTAGAATTATTGTTTTACTATAGAATAAACAAATTGGGTGGTCGGGATGTAAATATATTTTATTTCTAGGGGTTCTTGAAACGGCCTNTTTATTTCTAGGGGTTCTGGAAACGGCCTTGATTTTGGTTCATGACTTTATTACTGTCGTTTCGTATCATGTAACAATTATTTAAATTAATCTGTACAATTAATTTACCTAATTTTGGTATTTGTATAAATATTTAAGGTTTCATAGCATTTTATGTGAATGTATTTTTTTTGCCCTCGAAATATGTATTCGTAATTTTTATGTTTTTTTGAGTTACTTATATTTTAATTTTAAAATAATATTAGCTACAAGTGGTAATTATTATAATATTTTTTAGATTTTAACTTAAGTAAAATTTAAATAAAACTTGAGTTTATTTCAAATTAATTAAAATTTGTTTTCTATATGAGATGTTTAGAATGCATTGGGTATGATTTAATTAATTATTTTTGGTCCATCCGTATATTTAACTAATTTTTTTATGTGACTCATTTAAAATATGTGTATAGATATATGATAACGATTCAGTGCGTGTATCTTACATATTTGTGATTTGCTTTAATCTAACACTACATTGCATGTTAAATGAAATTTATATGTTCGAAAAAATCTTCTTTCTAAAAAGTAAAAACAGATCTGTTATGAGATATTACAGTCATGCAAAAATGTAATGTTACTTTTCTTTTTTTTCTCCGTGCATAGAAACAACATGGATAAATAACACAAGTAAGAAAAGATGTGTCCGGCTGTACAAACAACATCAGCGACCGTTTTCTAAGATGATTGATGGGTTTACGCAACAGTAAATCATAATTATAAAAATGCCCATCGGCATAAATTATGCATGGCCAATGGGGGAACCGACCCTTGCCGCCGAGACTACAGGAATCTTCTGGTCATTGGGTCATTGGAGCTAACCCTTTATGGGTACTTGGTTTCTTTTTACGGCCAACACCAAAAGGGCTTAGACAGTCATATACAATCGTTGTAACAACTCGGTTTGGATTACCAGGAAAGATCTTCGGAGAATTCGGAATTTTCAATCGCTACTTGTAAGTTTTTTTTATTAAGTTTTAATTATTATTTAGAAAAATTTTACGGAAGTTTACCAGATGCTTAATATTGTATAATAATAATAATAATTATTATTAATAAAACCCTTTTTCTTCAGTTAGCAAAAAATATTTTTTTTTTGCTCATACTTTTTTTGTAATTTAACTAATGTTAATTTCAACGAATTTACTTATTTTATTTAAACGTGAAAATTATACGCCAAAGGTTCGTTAAGTATAGCTTTTAATAATATTAGCGAAACACTTGTTTTAACAAAGAGTATAGGCACAATTATTATATTTGAAGAATTTAAAGTAGTTCCTACATGAGCTGTTTTTTGTAAATAATACAATTAAATTTCTTAATCCAACAATTACCTTAAAAAATTAATCCTGTAGACACTTCCGTTTTTTGCAGTTGTTCCTTTCACTTATTTATGGAAAGTATAATGCTATAAATTAGTTTAAAAGTAAAACGGCAATAGCAACTAACGAACTCATCCATGAAATGTTTGTCGTTAAAAACTTTTTTTATTTCATTTTACATCAATTAAATTAATAATCTATCCAGAAATAACACGGTATTTTATTGATAATATTGTTATGTGGTATTTAACTCAATACTTTTACTCTTAGATAATGGCAATGGCTTTCTCATTAAGCCAATTATTGTTTATACTGATTAATTTGCGTATTGATTAAAAAAAACACGATTTAATTCAATACATTTTTCTGTAATATTATTTGTACCTTCTGTGTTACACTATTATAAACAAGTAACTAAACGTATAAAAATCGTTGTCATTATACGATTTGTTTCCTTTAAGGACTACTGTAATAATCTGTAATCGCATGGAACATGTTCTCAATGCAAACGTGTTTGGGATTTGTTTTGCCCTTCCGGTCAGAAATAATATCAAGTTTTTTTCAATTAAAGTGCACCCTGAACTTCCGTGTATCGGCTTATTTGTATGTGAATATCGTTCCCGAAGGGTCAAAGGTGTGAAAAACGGAAATCGAACCAGTACCGAATATTCCGGTTGGAAATGTTCAATAGGTACTCGCAGACGGCACTTGGTCAGTGGACACACCCCGTGACACGCATTGACTATACTATTGTAATTCGCTATATGCCTATGTGTGTTGAATAGATTCTCTGGGAATCGAATCCTGAATTTCAGGTTTAATTAGTCGAAGGATCGGCCAACGGCGTTTTGCACAAGGCGAATCGATTTATTTTGTTATTGTTACAATACATTTTATTTATTGATTTTAATACAACCCGAATTCCTATATTGCACGAATTATACGTAATAAAAAGATAAACAACTTTGCGTTTCGATTTTTATTGGTATTATTCGTCAGCCAACCTAAGCCTCGCAAAATCTTCAAATACTAAATTGTCTTCATCGTCATCGCCGTAGGTCTTTTCATACTTTAGCCTGTCGATACTTCTCATTTTTTTCAGCGCTGCTTTTGACGGTTGTGATTTGGCTGCAGAAGCAGAAACGTAATCATCCGACACTGTACGGCAGAATTTAAGTGCATTATTATAACGGGCCGATTAATGTTACGAGTGACAGTGGTATTAACCTGGGTTAGGATGCATCAGTTTGAAAGGTACGTCTGTGACCAACTCTCCTCCCAAAGTGCCGCAGTTCAATTTAACTCTGACCGAATACGAAATGACTATACCGGTCTGGTCACTAGGTCCTTTACCTTCAGCCATTAGTGTAGACGAAGCCAAATTGACATCGTCGTCCTATAGAGATAAACTTTTTTTTAATTAAAATGTTGCAGAAACTAACTGTTCGATTACCTTCAAATGGCCATCCAAAGCGATTCCTCTTCTATCTTTGTTACTGGCTGCTAATGGCACCAAAAAAAACTGCTTGGAAAATGATGCGCCCGGTGTTATGGGGCATCCTTCTCGTGTCTCCAGGCTGGCAACAAATTTTGAAAATTGAGCGTTCACCATTGTAACTTCTGTGTGTTGTACTACATATACCTATCGTGAATTCAACGGGCAACTTTTTTATTTTTTTTTAACAATAATTTATTAATTGGAAAAACTTTCTAAATATATTACTATTTAATTAAATTATTTTACTAACCTTAATGTTTTTCACCGATTTTCTTGAGCTATTGCTGACTACTACTGTAGTAATGACTTTTTCACCGTGATAGTATATTTCCCTATCCAAAGTAACCTCTAAGCTGATTTTACCGTGCGAAAAAGTAAAACCTTTGCTAATCAACGAACTTGGCAGCCTTTGTCCTCTAGTTAATGGCGCGTATTGTAGCTTTAAAAAATTAAATAGTATTTGACTTCAGCTGTGACATTGTGCGTACTTAACATAATAAACGATGTATACCTTTTTAATGATCAACGATACAGATGACCTCGATTGACCCCTGTCGTCTTCTCTATCGGATACGTACGTGAGGATACTATACTCGACTCCCAACGGTTTGCCGTCGTCGTCATCACCGGGTTGCAGTGTAACTGAGGATGGCGAATTAGGCGGAAATTGAAATACAAACGGAAACGCATTAGAAGTACCAAACTTCTTAATCAGTTTCCTCTGAACTGGTGTTAAGTCTGACGAAATGTCTTTGACTTGTGGAACTATTTGACTGCAAGCCAACACCATTTCTTTGCTGAACTTGACACCCATTACCTCGTCTTCGGCTCGCCCATATCGATACGTCGTCGAAACCTAAAATAAAATGCATCATCACTCTTTAGTTTTTCTATTTTTCATTATTCTTATGTAGATGAAAATTTACCTGACCGAAGATTTTTCTACCTTGTAGATAGTCATTTTCAACGACGACAACGCCGTCAATTGGATCAACGCTATCCAAGTGATCTATAAAATCTCGTTTGCCTAAATAAACGGTCACTTTCCCTGGAATACATTGATACAACGTTATTCTTGTATTTTACGAACAATAAACAATTCTGAGTGTCTATAAACATTACCATTTGGTGTAGTTTTTTTAAAAACTTTTAAAGCAGCTATAAAATAAACAAATAAAAGAGGTATCATCATATAAATACGGCTCACTAATTAATAAAATGCAAAACACACAAGTGAAGATGTCTAGGCCGAATGCGACCCTTACGACTAAACTGCTGATCAATGGTATCTAAAGTTTTCAGTAGGGTTTCTCGGCGCAAGATTATAATGTCATTTGATAATTGGATCAAGTGAAGACCCGGAAATTCTTCTAGGTGTTTTTCTATTCAAATGTCTTTGTTGAAAATTTTAAAACGTGTTGACATTTTTAACCCACAGTTTCTTACTCTACTCAAGAAGCCTTTTTCACTTTGTATAAACTGATTAAATATAAGAAATGGACTAGTCGATATTTTAAACTATATTGTCTTTCTTTAAGAATTTTATTTTTTAATTTAATTAAATAAATTAATGTAATTAACTAAAACGATTAATTTTCTCATAGTTATATTCGACTAAAACCAAAAATTGTAAAAGAAAATCTTAACCGCATAAAGTTTAGTGATTATTTTTCAGTATGAGAAAAACAAGATATTATTAATATTACTTAACAAAATAAAGTTATGTAACAGAATGTTCATAATCCCACAAAATGTCCTACTTAAATTGTATAAAAGTAAATAAATTGAGACATAGCAGAGTGGATTGAATCAAAACATTCTGTATATCCACTACAATACTATGAAAATAATACAACTCTAATAACTTTTTACAATTTTTAAAAACGATTACTCAAAGATAGAGCTTCAATAGATTCTTATGGAATAATTAATTGGTTTTAAATGGATTTCCCGAAAAAAAATTTCGCTATTTATACACTCAAATTAGGAAACACTTCAATTTTAAAAGGCTCTTAAGTACACACATGTATTTAAATTTATATATGCATATTTATTACATCTAATATGTAAAGTGATTCATTAAAAATAAGGCACTCATTTTCTCGAAAACTATTAAACAGTTTTAATTTTTATAAAGAAAAATTTTTTGATTCAAAAAACTCTACAATAATATATAGCCAGAATAGCTTAAAAAAATTAATGTACTAAATCAACTTAAAAAGAAAAAAAAATGTTTAGTTTTATGTAATTTTATTCAATTTTAGTTAATACTACTGTATATACTTTTTATTTCTGTCGGCTAAAGGCCTCAGATGTCGAAGCCTTAATAAAAAAAAAAAATAATGTGTAGTCAAATAATTTTTTTTCACCACTACAGGGATAAAAAAACTTAACCTTAATTATTTTTAATAAAAATCCCTATTAGCATCGATGCGAAGCTGAGAAGGTATTAATTTTACTATGATGTGTTTTTTTTGTTGTGCCTGTTGCCATTTTTTCTCAGCTATCACGGGACCGATTTCTTTCAACGATAAGTCAAAAGATCATAAATCGTATCTAGTTGAAGACATTACCCTTAAAAATTGAAAAAATTAAATGGGGTAAATCTTGAGACTTCAAATTTAAGACTTGAGTCTTTCACGCGTATGGTACAAGGTTCAAATCTACCTTTGGCAAATTATACTTTGTATTTTTTTTTGAGTTAAAAAAAAATTTTCAAATCATTTGATTTTTATCTCATTTAGATTCAATAAATATCAAGGATTCCATCACTGTAGTCTCCCCTCGTGAGAAGAAATTTCTTACTCATGTTAATATTTTTTGTGCCTCTTATTTAGTTTTATAGCTTTCATTTGACTAACTTTTTTTAACGATACATAAAATGATCACAACTCGTATCTAGTTAAAGATATTACCCTCAAAAATTGAAAAACTATCCACTTTATCAATTAAAAAGTTATTTAACCCATATATTCCAATTATAGATAATTAAAATACTTCATTTCTAATGTTTTTTAAAGTATTTATTGTCNCCATTTATTCCAATTATAGATAATTAAAATACTTAATTTCTAATGTTTTTTAAAGTATTTATTGTCTAATTAGGTTTGATATGATAATAGGTTTCTGTTTGGTACAGAACTTCTTTAGCAAAAATCTAATAGACCAGTTGTTACAAACATCGTTGATTATATAATATCGTGTGACAGCTGATCTCTAGGGTCTTGCTTTACTCACCCCCTTGCCCACCCAGTACGGCAAATCGACGACCTCCATGTCAGGTGTCATCCGCGTACAGTTCATTGTCGTAAGTCAGTTGGTCTATTGTTTTATGTGTCATATTATTTTCTGTAGAAAGCGCCTTCGTTTCAATAGTAAATTGTTCGGCCATTGTACGCCTTTATTCTTATTATTTTTTTATTGCACCCTTGTGCTCAAAGTTCTCGTGTCTTTGCAAGCCACCAGTGATTGATCATCACTAAAAAACTTCATTGCCGTAGTCGCTTTTCCGCCGTCTGTTCTCATCTGTCATTACGTGCCTGGATCTTCACCCTGACTCGTGATACTCAGATGCTCGACATCATTACCACAAGATCTCATACAGTCCACTTATCACTTTCAACAACTTCATCTGTTCAGCTAAGTTTTTATATTATTTTTACCGTTATTTATTATTTCTTAAATGAAAAGTTTTTTTTCTAATCTAAAGTATCTCTATTAGTTTTATTTTTAATGATCTACCTTTTAAATATATTTTTCAAAACTAATTATTAAAAAAAAAACGATCTGGTTAATAGAAAAACATTTTAATTAGACAAATTTATCTTAAACAAACTTAATTAATTGACTATTTGGAATAAAATATATAATATATAAGAAAATATCAATAATCTTAAAGATTACGTAATATGTCCAGAATTGATTTTGAAGATGTTAAATAATTACGGACGCCATGTCTTAAATTGACTTTGCATTTATATACATTATTCTTCAGTTTACGCAGAGTTTTTTTATGTACGTTAGATATTGTGAAATCTAAATAAAAAAAATTTTTAAGTTTTCAACGAATAAACTAATCATTTCATAGGTACTTAATATGATGCATTTAACTGCCATAGGCGCGTATTTCATATAAAACGTTTCCAATCTACGCAGTTCAGCAGATGTTCCAGAAACCAAATCACCCCAATCAATTAAATAAATATTATAAATTTGGTACCCATCCACACAATTTTTAACATCAATACAAACTCCTTTATACCAACTATCATCGGCTAAATTAAAATAAATATATTAACAAAAAAATAATGGAATTTTTACTGTTTGAATATTATGAATTATAATGCGCTCATATGAAAATAAAAGGTACTAATAANGAATATTATGAGTTATAATGCGCATATTATGAAAATAAAAGGTACTAATAAATTATTTGAGTTGATTAATTAAATATGTATCATACATCAGTATGAATTTTACTTATCTATATATTATTTTAATTATTATAACTGTTGATTACTATATTTAACGGCATAAAGTTGATCACGTCGTGGTTTAAAATTACGATCTTGTGTTTGTTTATAATGTGCATTCATACTACAATTCCATAAATCTTATTATTTGTTCATTTTTGACTTTTGTCATACAAAAATAATCTGCTTGACAGTACAGTACTCTCGTGCTGTAGTCATAATTATTCCTTAATTGAAGTTGAGGAACATTTTCAAGCGTATAGAATTGTAGGCCATTGTCGACCTGAGTTCCGTTTTGTTTGTTCACTACACCTTCATTCTATTAAATAGTATTACTAATATTAATTATTTATTATTATGACTATTTATTCAAATCCTCTTTGAAAAACTAGCTTCATAATAAGAGTTTAACATTAAAAACTAATGTGTTCAGTATTAGTTAAATAGAAAAAAATTGAATATATGATTTCTAAGTACCGAGTATGTTTTATTAAAGTTCACTTCAGCCTTTGACCAATCATACGCCGCATCAACTAAAATATAAATTATAAAAATTATTTAACCTATTAAATTTCATATACTTCTTTTGTACATTTTTATATAAAAGTATATAGTTAATTTTTTTTGTTTACTCAATTATAGTTGCTACTATCCATTTGAAATGTTACAAATGTAATTTTTTAATTCATTTTAATCATTTTTTATTGTTGTCACAATTTAAAATTAAAAATTAAATAATTGTTTTCTTTATATAAATTTCTAAACTTTTAATTGAAAATTTAATATGTTTATTCAATTTTTAAGTAAACATACTCCAAAATATGTGTTTCTGGAATAGATTTTATTTGAGCGATTATATCTTCTGCCAATTTATTTGCTTGTGATCTACAATCTACTGAGGTGACTATTATCAGATATCATCTATACTTGTTCCAACTTTGCCACGTCCCCACTGTACTACCGTTTTTATAATTTTTTTACTTTAATAATATGATAGAAAATAAATTTCCGAGCAATTTTGTTCTTATAATTTGTTTATCCAATCAACCGTTTGTTTGTTTCAGCGTATTATAGTTAAGTATTTGAATTATTACGCATATTGAAAATATACAGATTAGAACAGATCTAACTGACAACTCTTAGAAATTTTGATACAATTAAAATTTTGCTGTAATTTTATTTTAACGATTTTGAATTCTAAGACTACGTTAAAGCATATTTTTTTATTTTGATGAATTTTAAAATAATGGTATTTCAGATAGTTCTTTCAAATAATATTGATGATCGATAACAACTTTAGGAATCATAAATATTTGAATACATTTGAAAATTCAGTTAAACGATAAATATAGTTAATAAATCTCTTTTGAAAAATAATCCGAAAATTAGAATGTGTATTAATATAAATTTACAAATGGATTTTGTGATTTTTAGGTGTTTTTTACCTTAATGGCAATATTTAAAACTTTCAATAGACATGGCTACTCAATAAAATTTTCCCCCAATAGAAAAGATTTCTTAGCTGTGGCAACATCACAATACTATGGGTTTAAAGGCGAAGGGAGTTTATTTTTGTTGAAATATGACGACATAAAAAATACACTTCATAGAGAATCTGTGATAACCTGGCAAGACGGTTTATTTGACGTAGTCTGGAGCAAAAAATTCGAGGAGTTATTGGTGACTGCTAGTGGCGATGGCTCTTTGCAAATGTGGAATTACAAACAGCCACAGGTTTTTATTTTTCTAAAATCGACATGATTTTGTTGTGATTGTACACATTGGTTTAATTTTATCAAATTATTAATTATTTTGTTCAAAGAAACCACTGAGAACTTTCACTGAACATACAAAAGAAGTATGCAGCGTTGATTGGTGTCAAAACCCTGTTGACGATTTTATACTATCTTCGTCATGGGATAGTTCCGTTAAATTGGTAAGATTGATCACCAGACCATTAATAACAGTTACTTAGAAGGATTTTTATTTTCTAGTGGGATCCCAATAAATACTGTTCTTTGACAACATATAAAGGGCACACGAGGTTAGTATATGAAGTTAAATGGTCTTCATTCATGTCATCTTGTTTTGTCTCTGTTTCTGGTGAGTGTTAGCACACGAACAAATAGCTTTTCAAATATTAAAAAAATAACATTTTTATTGTAGGCGATGGGATGATGAGCGTTTGGAATTGCTCTATGCCGATAAGACCTGCTACTACGATAAATGCGCATCAGTCAGAAATCCTATGCTGTTCTTGGAGTAAATTTGATCCTTTTATATTGGCTACCGGAGGTGCTGAAGGTTTAATTCGCGTGTGGGACATTCGAAACTTACTTACGCCTGTATATCAACTCGAGGTCAGTAAATATATTACTAGTAGCTGAGCAAAAATATTAGAGTTAAATTATGAAAAAATATGTTTTCAATTTTACATTTAATTCATTTTCAAGACGATGTTTAGCACAATAAACTGAATTAAATAGTTATGTTAAACAAACACCTTATAATTATATTTTTAAATCCCAACGACTCAAGTTAACTAACTTCATTTAGTTAAAGTTTATTTGAGTAAAATGGTAAACCTCACTAACGCGGTTGATAATTTATATGACCTTAACTGTAATATTTCTATATTATTGTCTTAGGGCTGTGAAGATGCGGTTAAACGTATTCAGTTTTCTCCTCATCATCGATCAATTTTAACGTCTACTTCTTACGATTACACGACTAGGTAATTTTACAATAAAAAAATAACTTTATTCATATAATAGTAAAATGATACAACTTAAAAAACAATAAACAATGACACTTTTTTTAGGATATGGAATTATGGTGCGTCTTCGTTAGGGTCGCAGTGCCAAAGTCGTCGCAACCATTCGGACTATGTGTATGGCCTAGACATGAGTCCTGACCGAGAAGGATTGACGGCTGACTGTGGTTGGGACGCATCGGCTCACGTTTTCTTAGCCTAATTGCAGCCGTCTCATGTTGGACGAAGTTACTGTTGATACGCCTGGTAGATGACTGGAGCGCTAGAGGGATTAGTAGCGTATCCAAAAGCGTTAGCTTTACTTGGTTGAGGTCTTGGACCAGCAGCGAACCTGTGTGCCGGTGCTTTGCTCAACAAAGGTTGAGCCTGGCGGTAGTAACCAGAAATTGGTTGAACTGATGGTTGTTCATCTGATTCCTGTTCGTTACCCTGCTAAAATACAAAGTTGTTTAATAATTAGTCAATGTATAAAATTGTTATAATAAATCAAATAAATTGTATTCAACTCACTGGAAGTGTAATGTATTGAGGTTGAGGTTTACGTTCAGCTAATCTGTATTGAGGTGCTGGGGCAGCTGGTTGTGGGGTAGGTGCTGGGATTTTTACTTGAATATTAGTTGGCTCCCGGCTGACTTCAGCTTTGAATCCCTTCAATACAATTAGTTAATAAATTAATTTAAAAAAACTTACTAGAAAAATTACAAGAAAAAAATATCTCTAAGATATACAATATATTATTTAATGTATTGAAACATTTTATTCTCTAAACGATTTAATGGTTAAGTAATATTGTATTTATCTAACATAAATTCAAATTTCCGTGTTACCGATATTTAATTAATAATTTTTATGAAATCAATTTATAAAACATAAAAACAACGATACTATTTAAAAAAAAAATTTTAGAAATAGTAATATGAGTTATATAGAGTTTGAAATATTAGTAAATAGTATTTCATAGTGTTATTGATTACCTCTTCGGGATCGGCGGTGTAAGTTACTGTTCTGATAAATCCATCTGAATCTACAACACTGTAGCTTCCGGATATTTTTTGACCATCTCTGGTTTCTTTACGGTTGTGATAGTTAGTCGATTCGTCATCGCTGATGTCGAAAGAAAACTGATATTGAGCGTTCGGCTGAAATGAACACAAGGAAAATCAATAAAACCGTTGGAAAACCGAATAAGCAATAAATCAAAAGTAATCGTAAATAAACGGTTCACTAAATCGTCAAAACCCGAGATTTTTACCTCGAAGTCGCAAAAACGATACCGACCAGGTTGGGTTGGCGGTGTAATCTAATTTTTTGATTACCAAAGTACATTTTTTCGAGTGTAAAATCCGATTAGCAAGTGAACTTCCACGCGAATATTCAAAAAACACTAAGCCAATAATACTCCGGACGACCTAAATGTTTTGTTATTCTAGTCTGCCCTACACTTAATGAAAACAACAGAGTCCGACCGATCATGTCAATGTCGAAATTGAAAACTTCATTCAGTATTGCGTTCAGATGTTTACTTTCAACCGCGCAGAACACATTGCAACTATACCGGTACACTATTAGTTTATTAGCGGTATGATATATTATTTTTTTCAATTAACACTAAATGGCATAATAGGCCAACCGCGGTTACACGACTATTGCTCCTTATACGGAGCGCCTTGTGCAAGCTCTGTTGACACACACACACACGCCGGTGTTTCCACATTGCCTACACTGCACTCGACCCCTTACGCCGCATCGGTTAATTTGTCTGATGTTGTGAAATAAAAGTGAACGTCTTCTGTTCGTTTGCACATACGGTGTAGGTTTGCTACTATGCGGTTTTTTATTTTATAATGATTCGACCCCGGTGCTGCAGAGTCAACGCGGTTTGTACACGACATTATGCAACGCTGACACGGTCGGGTTGGGTCGTGACAAGTGCACGTTCGCATGTCCGGTACTAACAATTTACATATGATCGCGATTTATAACAATTTCGCTGTAATCAGTCTCAGGTGCACGTTATACAATATATGAATTATATATATTTTTGAATTGTATTGTCGACAGTAGTCAAACGTTCGCTTTTTTAATTTTCCGTCGTTTAGCCGTTCAATTGCAATAATGCGTGTACATTCTAATAGAAAATAAACAAAAAATATTGTTGTTGTAGTTATTATGTGAATAGACGTTACGTGATATTAGATCAAGTTTTTGAGGTTGACGCCCCAGCGGGCTTTGGGCAAATCACTTGATTTATATATGCGTAATATCAACAAATATAATTTATAACCCGAAATTATGTAATTCGCCGTGATACGTTATTAGATAATATATGAATATCGGTAAAAACCCACAAGTCTATATTTTAACTATGAATACGGTAATTTTAACTCGAGGAAGACTTATGTAGGTTATTATGCGATCGGATTCGGCAATGATATCTACGGTGATAAGTAAATTTGAATTTAGTAAAAGTAAGCCCATAAAAATATATTAAAATACACAAAAACCAGCTGTCAAAAAAGAAATCAAAATATTTTATTTAATAGCCTTAGATAATATTTCTAATCCGAGTAAACTCTAAACAAATATTTTAGAATATGTTTTGCACTGCGTTTTCTGCAAATCAACCAATTTTTAAGCGTTTGAATTTTCTTGGCATAAGCAATTTAAAGGCAGTATTAAATATTTAAAAATGAAATTTTCCAAGAGATTAATTTAATAATCGATAACTAATATTAGGCCATAGTTTACCAATGAATTTGATCTTTATTGATCCAGTATGCAAATGAAAATATATTAAATCTCTTTTCGAGTTTTCTCCTTGTTACCAATTTCATCAAATCCACATTAGCTTCTTGGCTACACAACGAAGCTCATATAATTTTAATTACATTGAATTTTTTAATGAAAATGACAATATAAAATATCGATAAGAAAGTAATCGAATACTTGTTCCTCGTTAATACACTGAATTGGCCATGTGCATACTAAATTTTTTGATATTAAATAATAGGATACTTTTGCTAATAATGTAAATGAGTTGTGATTTTTGTTTGTTTAACTTTTAATCCAGTTTTGTGTTTTATTAAACGTGAAATTAACTATAGCGGAACTAATTGTTGTGCAATAATTCATTAAAACTCTTATAAATTATAAAGACGTTATGCACTAGCCGGTTGGTTACTTATCAAAATAAATTTAATTAAACTCACGTCATTGTCGGCTTCCTCTTCTTCTTGTTTGTTTGGTTTGTACGCTGGTTTGGACTTTGAAGCTGTTTTTGGATAAGCTTTCGGCCTGGGCAGTGGTTGGTATTGTTCCGGTTCTTGGTAGTCTTCGGGTTCTTGCTGAGTTTGGTAGGAAGGTGTTGGATACGCTTGTTGATATTGAGGTTGGGGTTGATAAGCTATTGGACGAGGAGAAGCGGCTGCTGCGGCCGGCTGGTAAGCTGGTACTTGAACCAAAACGGGTCTCCTGGGCGCTGACTGAGGCTTATCCGACAGGCGAGCAATCTGTTGCTGTGATATGTACCTAGCGTACTCTTCTTGGGTGACCGGAACCGAATGGACAACCGACGACACTAAGGCGACCGTCAACAGACACTGTGTGACGGGCGGCAAAAAAATTGATGTTAAACATTATTGAAAGAAAAAAAAAAAATGACTATGTATTTGACTTACCTTGGATATCATTGTATAAAAAATTAATTAAATGCAATAATTAAAGCAACAAATTATTCAACGACGACAAACTCGCGCATAGCCGAACAACAAGTGAATGTGGTCCGCCGTCGGGTCCGGCGACTTATATACACCACGCGGATAATTGGACGCCACCCGTCGACTTCACGACTTTGGAGTCCGCGTCGGTGTCTTCGCACGCTCTCGTAGATTAGAAAGTGTTCCGGCGTAACAATAGTCGGAATGGACCTCGAGAAAAGTGAATTCAAAAATGAGAAATATTTTCAAACGCCCCCGAGTGTTATGTTTTTTAATATAGTTGCAAAACATGACCGGTGCCGCTGTACAGGCGATCGTGTCGACAGATTTTCAAAAAGCTCGCAACAATATGTTATCGGATGCATTTTTATGAAGCTCCGCTGCATTGTAATGTTACGCAATAATTGGAATATTCGGTTTTTTTTTTATGCAGAGAACTTTGCGTAACTCGTATCGATATAATAATAAATAATAACATTCTCGTAATTATAACACGGTTATGATGTGATCACATAATAACCAAACAAATGTACAACGGTCACGCCTATGTCCAAAGCACGATCTGTATGTTTACCCGCAAAGCCTACACATGTACAAATCGTCATTTCACAAACCGCTAAATCAACGGTTTTATATCGAGAGATTGACTAGATAACCATCTCTGCCCTTTGATTGAGTACGACCTGCACTGTTATGTTTTCCAACAAGAGCTTATTGAAAACCGATTAGTCTACTAAGAAAACATACTGCGTTTTTCATAATTAATTGGGTTGTAATATAGAAATTTACATATAAATGCATGTAACCGGAGAAGCTGTTGAAATTGTTGCACTCGTAAAACAATACTAAACAAAAATTACCATTCAACTTGAGCGAATAAACATTAATTTACATAATGTAGTTATGGTAAAATACAATAGAACTCTTTACTTAATGTCTAAATGTTAAATAGTTACATTTGAACATTTGTTAAGCGTATACTCTTACAACCAGAAACAAAATACCAGCGAATGACAGGCAAGAGTCTGCTACTGATATAATTTAATCTCTTTTAAGGTGTATAATTACAGAACACCAAACCGGATAAGTTTTTGAATATTGAATGATTTTTTAATCAGCCGCCAAACGTTGTTATATAATGTTATATAATTATGATGATTGGTGTGTAGGTAATGTTCTAAACAAAATAACGCCAAAATTGTCTCATTTAACGTATAATTTATGTATCGTACAGGTAAAATAACAGTTCGAATATAATAATATTACAAAACTACAGTTTTTTTAATTTAAGCATGCGTTTTGTTTAGATAAAACTGAAAAGGAAAAATTAACTTTAGCAACAATTATTAATTAGTGCCCTCACTATGACGATCAAATCACAAGTATAAATATATATATATATATGTATAATATAATATAATAATCATTATTATTACAACCAAAATTCCCATCAAATTATATTCAAAACACAATCATTATCTACAAAACAACTGAGATCAACATAACAAAATATGATACTTATATAAAAAACGCAAGCTAATATTAGTGTATAATATTCCTATGCACGCGTCACATTATATAATTCATTATGCATAGACAATTCATAATATCAAATTGTACGCATATCGTAATTATTTTTTTTTTTACATTATACAGTCTACATAATAGAAAAAATTCGAAACAAAATTAGGAACATTAATTTATAACCTCTGTGATTTTTTTTTTTTTTTTGTAGTACAAAACTAAAATGTTTATACAAATTAACAATCAGTACATTTCGCTAAGTCTATAAATTGACCGCTAAAAAATAATAAATAAATAAATAAAAACTCAAATACAGTTTACGTCATTGACATATGTAAACTAATGAACAGTCCTAACTTAAAATCTACTGGCCCATACATTTTCTGACAATATCAATTACTTTACGTCGAGTAAGCTAAAAACTAGTCGATAAAAAAATAAACCGTTGTCATCGTCGCGGTATCGAATTATTAAAATTAAATAAATATAAATGTGACGGTCAACTCTTTCGATACAACTAAATTTTAACAATAAAATAATATATATATATATATATTTTGCCAAATAAAAAGTCCCAAAACGCATTCCATTAGTTTACAAGGCCAACGGTTTACTCTATAAACTTATCATAGTTTTGTATTATTTTTAATTTCGATTAGGTTTTTCGTTTAAAAATAAATAAGATATTATAAATAGTTAATATTTGGCTTCTTTGAGCTTATCGAGTTACATTAAATTACGTCATCGCGGTATAACAGTTGAGATGGCTGACATTTTTCTCGTAACTGAACGACCAAATGAAAAAGGTTGCAATTATTGCGCATAAAGATTTCGGTTCCAGACGTGCGTGTCGATTACGTGCACTCAATAAAGTGCCTTTGTTCGATCACAGAGGGTCGTTGTATTTCTTCAGGTTGTACACCGGCGGTGATGGGTTGCTGGTGGTGAAGGTGGTGATGTGGTCGAAGGTGAGCGTACATGTCGCTGTCGTCGTCGTGTTGTTTGTCAGAGCTCCTGAATACGTTATTTTGATTACTGTCGTCCACGTGTTCGGTCATCATGCTGCCGTTTGGGAAACCGACGTTGCCTGTGTGGTAAGACTGGTGGTGGTACTCCGGGCTGTTTCTTGGTTCGGACAAGACTTCGTCTTTACCGCCCGCGTATTGTGGCCTGCACGATGTGGTCTTCCAATGGGTTCTATGATAAAAAATATATATAATGAATTAGAAACACGTTGTTTCAATAACACATTTATAGTATCGTGTTTCAACAACAATTACCTCAGTCCGCTGGCACTAATATACGATTTCTGACAACACTGGCAAGTGAACGGCCTCTCGTTTGTATGAATACGCTTATGCAGTTTTAGGTGGACTAATTGAGTGAATGTAGATGAGCAAATCTCACACACGAACGGTTTATCTCCGGTGTGCAGTCTAGAGTGAGTCTTTAAGTTTGAAGTAGAGCTGAATCTTTTCTGGCACACGTCGCATTCATGTGGTCGTTCTCCTAAAATAACAAAATTAAAAAGCAATGAGTCGAGTTAAATACTTCTCTTGTAATCCTCGATGATGTTATCGTTTAAAAAATTAAGATTAACTTACCGGTGTGGACGTAGTTGTGCTTTTGTAGATGTGCCAATTGTGTAAAACTTTTACCGCACGTCTTACACTTGAATGGTCTCTCACCAGAATGCGTTCTCAGATGCACTTTTAAATTGGACAGCTGGCCAAATGTCTTGCGACAAACGTTACACTCGTAATGCATTTTTCCGTTTTTCTTGCTTATCGGGTATGGTAGGGACCGGTAACCACGTGAATTTCCCGAACTGCCCGGACTTCCACATGGTGAAACGTCGTCAGGAGACATAGAGCCTGCTGGTGGACTGCCAGCGCTTGACTCTACGGGATGGCTGCTCGGATAATGACACTGATAACCACCACCGTTTTGAGGAGGGAACAAGTGCGATTGATACGGCATGTAGTGTAATTGTTGGTTAGCTGACGACGAGTACATGAGTAGCGAATGCGGTGGACTTCGGTGCATCTGGTGCAACGGTGGCGACATTGCTGGTGATAATCCTTTGGTCGACGAGTCGGGGCTGACCGATGCATTTACATAACGCTGTACGTAAGGTACGTCAATGGGCATCTGCTGCTGTTGCTGTGACTGAAGAGGCGGCGACGATACGGTTATTGGCTGACCAGTGTTGGATGACTGTTGGTCCTCTTTGGTTTGAAGCAACAAGTTTTCTAGTAGAGATTTTTGGTCTCGCGGGTACGAATATATGACTGAAGGCGGCTGTATGACGACAGGTTGGTCGTACTTAAGTTTTTTTGGCTGTGACTCGACAGAATCAGTCAAAGCGCTAGACGAAGATGGTTCGGCGTAACGTTTTGGTGACGTTGGCCTAACGACGGCGACAGGTTCAGATGCAACAGGTGATGGTGTCAGTTCTTTGTGCGGCTGTTCTGGGTCTTTGCGATATTGCGACGCCTTACGCAGCTTAATTTTCACCTTGAGAAATTCGTTGGTTTCCACTTCAACAGCAGCTTCTTCGTCAGCTTTTGTTATTTTTGACTTTTTGCTATAACAACATTAAAAAAAAAAAAATCAAATACACCTTTTTTAAAAAAAATCATTTTATTTTTTTACATACCTATAATCTAATATACAATTAGAATTGTCATCAGAGTCAGACAGATGATCGGGAGGCGTGGGCGCATCGTCATGATACGTATGACTGTGATATCCTTCGTCAGACCGCACTGAGTTAGATTGAGCATATCCTTGGGTCTTAACCTCATCGTCTATTGGTCTTAATCGCAGACCATCAAGTCTAAGCACATCCGAGTGGACAACATCTCCGTAATCTTTCATAGGACTGATGAGGACTCGACGCATAGACGTTTCGTTGTTGGTCATAGCCTTGTCAAATTCGTTGCGCATGTCGTCGTCTTGCCAATGAACTCGATTGACGGTCTTGAGCACTACATCCGCACTATCCGTAATTTGGGGTGGAGGTGTGGGTGGCGTTGACGACGAAGTTACTGTATCCGGACCGTCAGCGATCATTTGCATAGTAGGAGAAGTGGAAATTTGAATTTCTAAAAATAAAGAGTAATGAGTGGTCAATATAGAAATTACGTGCTAATGATCGTTATACGGGGTTACGGATAGGCAATTCTGTTACACCGATGGCAATAGAACACCGCATCTGTATTACTGGTACAACGACGGGCACTATATCAAATTATATTTCGATAAAAAAACAATATTGGCTACTTACTTCCTTGCATTTTTTGTATCATTTGTTCCACACTTGATGGATAGTTCAACCTTTCAGCAAACTCGCGGCAGTACCATACTAACAGTTCTTCGTTAGGATAAATAGGGCGTATAGTGTAGAAAAATATATCGGTCTGCGTTTACAAATAACTTCAAATTAGAATGAGTTTTTTTATGAAAAAAAAAAACCTATTGAATACTCACCCCACATTGGCAGGCGATCAGGTTTTGAGATTGAGGCGAATACGGTGCACTAACGTATCGCATCCAATTCGATTTGGTCTCATCATAAGTGTTTATGTAATAAAACGGTTTGTTCTCTTTATAGATCTGTAACGGTAAATGGGACGGTTAGATTTGCGCGACACGGTCGGAATGATGGAAATAATAGAACGCTTTATAAATAACAGTAAAGATTCAAGAAGATAGTTTTAATGTAAAATAACCAAAGCGAATTTATTTACCTGTTGGCGAATCGTCCGCCAGAAATTGTCTCGCTCTAGCATAAGTTGTACCTAACAATAAACGGACAGAGTTATAGATAAGAGAGTACACATCATTAAACCGGGTTATGTATAATAATAATAATAATTATTGTAGACAATAATAATGTTAGTAGGTCATAAAGCAAAAATTCAAGCAGCGATTCAACAAATTTGAAAACTTACCCTCCAGAAGTATTTCCTCTTTCCGTTTGGCGCATGTTCTTTGACGCACACTTCTCCGACCAAAGGGCCAAACCTCGTGCCCAGAGGAATGTATATTGCGCTTTTGACGCCGGTGATTTTCTTGCCGATTTTTTTTAGTTTAAGATTCCTAGGCAATGAGCTTTCTGCTCTGTTTGGGTTGTTGGGATCTGGAGGTTGGTCCAGTACGATGTAGTCGACGAATTTGTCGAATTCCTCTTCTTTGATAGAGTTGAAGTCTAAAGGTAAGTCGGTGTCCATGGGTGGCGTTTCCTGTTGGCATTCCAATCGATATTAGTCGTTTTAAATATTCAATGTTGTCGTGAAAAAAAGATCAACAGACGACCAGAACAACAACAACAAATTGTAAAAATAAATCAAGCGGCGGTCGGGTACATTCGTTCAGGGTCGGGATGTTTAAATCTATTCGGTTTCACCTTCCGAGTATTATTTTTAGCTAAATGTGCGCGGCATTTAGCGGATGTATTAATCTGACAGTTGGCGGCCAACATTAATATCTATAGAAATGCATACATTGTTATAAAATGAGTTTGAACGGCCAAAGGGCTGTCGAGAATGAAAAGCGGTGGCGGTATTGCACAAATAACGCACGTTGTTGGTGGGCTTTGACGCGCGGGCGAGGCGAAGGGGAAATGCAGTAGAATATGGGTCACTAGTGCCAACCGAAAGCCCTACAAACTGCACTATCGATCTCACCGAATGTCGCCGCCGTACACAATATAAATATGTATAAAGTCCATAAAATACGTGTGCGAGTGTACGTGTGGTACTGTACACCGTGTGCGCGGTGCCAATAAATTTCGTTGTGACGCGTTTGGAATGATGTGCACAAAACGAGGTTTGCTCGGTGCGCAATGAAAGTCGAAATACGATAATAAATAATTTACACCAGTGAATCTAATCTATTTATCTGATACTTAAACGGTCGAGTATAAATAGCGGCGACCTTAAATCCGCGTAGATACGCTTGGACCGTCTGGAAGGCCGTTAGGAAACACTATAAATCTATTTTAACAACACCTACGAGCGCGTAGCAAGTGGCTGTCGACCATGTTCCGCGCGCTGGAGAAATTGATGACCACAAGGGTTTAATTAAGTCGTTAGTCGTTATGAACAACGGCGGTAAATAAACGATAAAGTACAGAGTTGTGGCCGGCCCGGGGGAGGGGGGGGGGGGGGATACTCGCCAGACGGTTTTTAACACGGGTCGACGAACTTTGACGGTCGGGTAGTGTACTTTATATTCGATTACACTCGGTGGTAGCGATGTCTGTGCGGAGAACGAAAAAAACGTAGCGAGTTGAGGCGATCCGGCGTCGTGTATCACGTATCGATTTTGAAGAATGAAAAACATTTGCGGGGGAGGGACTTGAATAAAATAATACCCAAAAGATTAAAGACCGCGGAAAAACGCGGTAAAAAGTGTATTGTCGGAGGTCCGGGGCGACCGCCAACGTTTTACGATCGCCGCCAGACGAAATCGATATTGTGACCCTCCCCGCGCTCGCCGAACGCCATAAGAGGCGACCAAGACGGCGGCGGCGGCGGCAAATAAATGGGACGGGACGCGTTTATTGTCGTTTGCATTAGACGCCGATAATAACGATTTACCTGTCTCATTGTGGCTGCTGGTGAACGCGTTCACAGGTCCTCCATAAATTGTCGACAACGATAGACCGCCTAAAACAAAAAAAGAAAACGAAATTCGTGCGTTAGCTAGTGTACTACAGGTGAACTGTGGAATTTGTACAATACATAATATTAATAATGTCAATAAGAGTTATTGCAACGCGACGGCGCATTGTTATTTTAAAATGCACACACCGCGGGCTCAGACGAATGCACAACGATTTGCCTCGTGCGATTGGTCTGCGAACACCTGATCAAACGGATGAAACACAAAAGAAAAATAAATAACCGATTGAATTTGGCAACGAAAAACTGTTGTGGCGGTCGTCAAAAGACAAAAGAAGTTGGTCCGAAAGTCTTAACGTAGTTGTAATTATTTAGTGTTTATTTGCACCCGAGGTGACCGTTGTAAATAATAGGGCGGCCTATCATTTTAACGTGCGATGGCGCCTTATTTTACATGTATTCAATGGCTAGCGCGTAAATAAATATCCGCGAATCCAACGCCGCGGCGTTTACCCAAGAAAAATGAAACGCGAGAAATGTTGCACGTCATCCAAGCGATTATCACTGCCGCATTAAAAAAATATATCTGTTATCGCGCGAAAACAAATAATTTTATTTTAACTACAAATTATTGTCGCCGTTTGAAATTCGAACGGTCTGCTCACCTCCGCGGCAGTACTTCCATTAATATAATAATTGATGGCCAATCGTTAAAACAACGATAATAATTAACATTGTTATGTATTAGGAGCGATTATTGTTGCAATTAGCCCAATGCGCAATGTTCACAAAGCTGTTAAGTGTTACGAAACGCGGACTTCGCGTCGGATATTTTTTTTTATGCGGACGGATACAAATTCATTATCATTAATTTTATGGCATCATCGCGTCTAATAATTATTTTATATTTTATGTTCAAACTCGTTTGTCCTCTACTCGAGAAAATTCCCCTTAGTATTACATCGTTGTCAGCCATTAACGACGATTTAAAATTGTATTTTATTTTATTTTCCATATTTACAATATAACCAATAATAAAATCGACCCGTGTAAAATATTTTATATGCATTTATATTAGTTAAAACAATTTATTTTGTGTTAGCTAAGTACATCGAACCATACAGACAGGTGTTTTTTTGTATAATTTCGTCAACAATTATTTACTCTTTGTTTAGTAAAAAACACACTTTTTTTACTTTTAGCTTACCCATAATATATTACGCGTTCAATACTATTGGCCTTATGTATTAGTATCGATAAAAATGATTACCATATTTTTCAGATTTCGTTAAGTTTACCACGTCACGTTACAAATGTAATTTTATATTTTATCTTTAAAAAATAAATATGCGCTTAATTTCATTACATATTAAGTGCATTATGCATTTTGGTCAAGGACGACCGTTATCAGCTGAGACTCAACACTCATAATTTTATTTTCATATCAACTGACACACGTTTATTGAATTAATTTTCAAAAAATAATTTCCCGTCGATTTCTAGCGCAAATCTGCAATTAATTATAAAGACAACCATTCGACAAGAAAAAAACCCCCTAACAAAACAATTAGAGCCCTTCGGTCCAAAAATTCAAACATACGTACCGATACAGTATGGAGAACCCTGTGAATTTCGTCGAGCATTCAATAACCTAAAATATAGTTTTTCACACTTTTTTTTATAACTTTGAACGCCATTAATAGAAACGAATATTCAACGGATTCCGTACGCGCAGTTTAGGAATTGCATGAATTTACTTAAACGTATTACTTCACAAGTGTTCAGACTTTGAGTATTTGCGCAAATACGTATTATAGATCGGACGCTTTAAAAAAATAAGCCAATGCACAACACGAGTTGGGAAAAGACATTCCGAATGGTATATTTCAGTGAAAACTACTAAATCGACTTAAGACGACTGTATTTTTTACAATGAACATTACTTCATTACACTCAATTTATGACATCTAATTGGTTATCTTGGAACATATAAAGTGAACGTTTCTTTGCAGGGTGACGTTGACGAAAAATTACTCGAATAGGGTCAGAGTGACAAGTGCAATTACGACTGATTATTGATGTTCATGGCTACAGCCTTGAGTAGCGTTTTATTGTCCACTGCACATGCAGCGCATATTATTATTTATCATGCTTAAATTTAATATCAAATCGCGGTTTATAGTGTCTCAATGTCATTTTACGTAACGAATATCGCATAAATAATGTTCGTCATAATTTTATTTTAAATACAACTTGCGATAGGACCCGTGTTTAGTTAAATAAAAATTACTGTTTACATTAAAAACATAGAAATACTTTTTACGATTTCATCGTACACACTAGTGAAATGAATCCACGAACAATTGACAAACATCGAGTTTTATTTTCTTACAGTAATAATTTTTCTTACTTTTTATATTAAAATTAGTGTATTCTTACCCTTTTGCAGTAGACCTTTGGGAGCAAATCGATTTTCGATTTGAATTAATTTTCAACGCCACACCGAAGTAAAGTGTAATTGTCAATGGAAACGTCAAAAGCTGTACTGACCTAAGACAACGAATCGTTCTGTGTGCACCGAATTCCGGATTGCACGTAGAGGATGCGCCACATCTCCGCGCCGACCCGCCAATCGCCGTCCCATCGACGCGTCCCTACAACGACGTGCGCGCGCCGTCCCGCACCCCATCTATCACATTACTCGCCGATTGCATTTCCGCATGCGCTGCGATGCACCGAGCGACGCAAGCGCACCACTCCTTAATCGCCACTACAGACGGCATCGTTATCGGTGGATGCAGAACAGCGGCGGTGGCGACACACTCTCGCTTTTTCGCGCCAGCTTATTACCGCTACACTGTTCAAAAACTCGGTCAACGGTCAACTTCGAGTCACGATAATTTGGTATTCTTCTTGCACATCATTTTTATTCGTAATAATTGTATTTTAAAGACTAAAAAGTTATAGCGTACTATGTTATCTCTTTTTATTTCGCGCATTATAAACATTTATGTAACGTTTTAATGACATGTTTATTTTGTAAATACACGTGTTCACGAACAAACTTTTTAATCTTAGAAAAACTCGCCTAATATATATTTTTGTTAAAACTGTGAGACGGGAGACAAGCAGCGGATAGTGTGGGTTAAATTATATATAAATATCATCCTTGCAGCGGTGTATAGAACGAGTGCAATGCATCAAGGTCATCGCGTAATGCGCCCGAGTATATATACAGTCCGCATACTAAGCGAACTGGGTCAGGCGCTATCTCGTGTAATAATAAAAACACCGCGAAAATGCATACTCAAAATAAATTACTGTCAAGTTGGATTGAGCAGCCGTTTCTGTCCCTGCTGTTCACGAAACATCACTGCCGTCGCGGTTTTCCCATTAAAATGACGTCAAGTAACTCGGGGACGTCTTCTCCAACGTCGTTGTAAATAATTATTGTTCATAGATATTATAGCGGACAAAAGTTCAACGGGTCACCAAGATGACGACAATGTGTAATATTGAGGACGTTCGGTCAGTGGGCGTGGTTAGGCCGAGCAGTGTGAAAGAAAATCGGAAGTACTCCTTCCGTCCGAGTGAAATAGTCGGTCAGGCGACCGTCGGGGGTTTCTCCTCCTTTCTCTTCTTATAGTCCCCCCTCATTTAATTCACCACACCCGCGCACTTGACTTGACGTAACAATGCGTCGTTCTTCCGGACCGCGACTGATTTGTTTTGATTTAAGCCCATGTAAATATATTTTCGGCCGATCGAAAAAACGAAGGTAACTGGCACGTAGTTGCTATTCTCAGCGGTTTGCGGTTTAACTGCTGCACCGCGGTAAGCGAAAACTCAACCGGTTTTTCGCCTCGGGTCAATGACCAACTTACACACCGGTAACGGTAACCTAACCTCAATCTATACATTTTTCATTTGTATTCGGTTGCCGGTAATAATAATTCTTTTCAATCATTTATTATTATTATTTTTTTTTTTTTTTTTCTATCAGCTCATTGACCTTTCGGATCGCGCGTCCGTCATTCACAACAGCCATCTCTAATTAGTTCATTATTAGCCGACGGCATGCCGCGGCAGTCGTCGCCGTCAAACGCTATCACTATCAGCGCGCGAACGATCAACTCACCGACGGCCGACCGAGCCGTGTAAAATATACAGAGGTCAACAATCGCTGGTGGCACCTCAGAACACCACAGCTACCGGAAGTTTACAACAATAAAGCACGACGAGCCGCGTCACAAATGCCACAGACTTGAATAAACAGCGATCCGACTTAATTAAATATACGTCCTCAGCGACGGTTTTTGTTTCATTTAACGGCGCTGAGGTTTTAATGAACATCAAACCACAGTAAACTGCTACTCAGAGATTGCGAAAACTAGTTGTTTACATGGAGCGGGAAAAAATAATTTACTCTTTAAAATTTGTTTTCAGTCAATAGCTTGTATGTCTGAACGACGTGGAGCGGTGTAAACACTTGAAATGAGAACTTACTGGTATCGATAAAGGCGTTATATTATTTTCTGTATAAGATTTTTTTTTTTCGCTCGAGCATAATGCATTTTATACCTACATGACCTAATTCGCTTTTACAGTGTGCGAAACGCCAATGAAATGAGTAAATAAATAAAAAATATTGTTCGATAACGGAATACTGTGCACATATTAATAACGCACAGGAGAATGTTCTACGCTGTGCTTACAGAAATAACCACAGCTATTCTATAATGAAAGAAGCAAAAGTGTAAAAAAAAAATCTTACAAAGATAGATTGCAGAAAAAAACGTCGAGTAGAAAAATAAATACCATTTAGTATATTCCCCTCTATGCTACAGCTGTTCCTTGTCAGTGCGGACGACTATTACGGGCAATGCGCTACACGGCGGTGACCGGTCATTGAACCAACGGTAGCGGCGTCGACGACAACGCACCGAGTGCGTGGTCGTGTCTTCGTAAAATCAAAAATAATGGAGACTCGAACAAAGAAAAAAGTTATGCAAAAAGTAAAAATAACCCATTACAGCACGACTTTATCGCGGGGGTTCTACAAGTGACGGTGAAAAAAGCCAAAAAGGGGATATATGCGCGAGCCGACGAAAGAAAAAGCGCCTAGCATCGCCTGGCTGACCTCTTTGTAAGTGGAACGACGAGTCGGATACTCTTCTTTTCGATAAACGTTTTCTGATAGCAAACAAATATTATCATATGATATTCTATCAATACGGTGTTACAACACAATGTAATAGGTTGTCCTAGACGCGACCTCGATAACATTTCATGTCCGTCTTACGGTTTTTATACTACCAATAAAAACTACCCTTAGAAGATCAAAAAAAAACCTTCAAACGGTACTTACAAGGACACAGAAATAATCTATCGAAGGTCAGAAATTGTAATAGTTTGGGATGTCTTACCCCAGAAATCCCGTAGGCATAGGCGTAAATACACCACAGCACGACAAACCGTTCATATTAACAATAGGCTCAAGTATTCACAGTTTGAAGAGCAACCGCACTTGACATGTTAAACACAATATAATTGCATCGAAGGCGTTTTTTTTTTTTTATTGTGCCGCATCAACAACATTGCACGTAATTGATTTATTTTTATCAATACTAATGTAAATCCTCGACCTTGTTTTAACCAGTGCGGTGTTATCTCATGCTACAATGAAACACTTATACAACTTGAATTTTTTATTATTTGTTTATGTTAATATGCTATCGATTCGCACACGCTATCTTTACTAACTCAATGCAATGTGTTATTAACAATAATTTGATATTTTTCGCAATCCAGGAAATATATAACGTGGGGCCGGCGGACAAGGTCAAAGCGACGACTATTTACCTGCTGTTGATCAACAGCACAACGTTGTATCTTGTAGACTGGATGTTTTCTCTTTTTGACGGATGTTGCATCATTCCGAGAATTACGGTTAAACCGTTAAGGGACAGGAACGAAGCAAAACGTGTGCATCTTGTAAAATATTAGATGTTTTATGCTATGCTCTAGGCTAGGTATAAAGAAGTTAACGACTAGTATACATTTCACAAATGGACTTAAATAGGACCGATTAAATTCCCGACGTACGCGTTACAATATGAATATCGTAGTGTGATAATCGGCGGGAACCTTGAACAGCTTAGCGTTGTCTAAATGGTACGTTGAAAATAATTATAGTTGTGATGAAAACGACGATTCCAGGAACGGAAGGTCCATTAATTTGTATTCCCGGCACGGCGGCAACCTTGTGAGAGCAACGCTTACTCGCAAGGATAACGATTATTTTTTGTAGGATTTTTAAGTGTTTTTTTTTTTGCAGACCAACCATAATAACATAAGCGGCGGTGGCCTCGGTGAAGAAGCCAATGAACTTGGCTGAACGTGCGGGGACGATAACAACAACGTCATTATCTGCCATCAAAATACTGACGCGATCCGAAGCAGTAGAATGTACCAAAACGGCCGTGTCGATCCGCCCGAACGCTAAAACGCTTCTCCTCTCATTTCCTACGCATAGACTGCAAAAAAACACCTCATAATTTGTCCCTTCCTATCGTTTTCGTTTAACGTGTCCTGCACGTCCGTCAGAGATAAATGTAATAACAACGACCGTGTAAAAATTCATTAACCTCAGTCCCTCGGGAACAGGCCCAGCGGACTGCGTACAAAAGTATTTAAGGATTGTATCTGAAACGCAGTAGATTAACAAATTATTAACGGGACACTGCGCGCTATTTTTGAACATTAAAGGTCGAGCAACGCATTTTGGCACGTATCGCGTCCCGTCAAATCGTTTCAATTTATACGGTCCATAAAATCGTGCATTTTTTACATATTATCAACATTTTTATACATCTGTGAACAACGACCAATGGTGATCTAAACAAATGCACTCTGGTGACTCGTGCAGGATGTGAGAGGTCATTCGCAAAAACCCCCGACCGGCCTACTATGATCGAATGTGAACACCATCGTAAACAACAACAGAGTAATAAAATCGGACGGTTCGGAAACTCGTATAGTTGTCAAGTGTCGTTTGGCACAAGTGACGACGATCGAATATTGACACTGCAGTACACGTTTGTGTGTATACGAGTGCAAGTTTTGTGTCAAGATACTATTACTACTGTTTTTTTTTTTGTCCTGTATATTTTTCACGGGCGAAAGGCCATGGTTACGCCGGGTGGGGGTGATGACGACTACGGTGGCAGTCTGGTTGTGTATACGTCGCGCAGTGTACTGTAGCTGTGAGTTCACCGACCTTGCATATGACGGCCGTGGGGGACTACTAGCGGGGGGAGTCGGGCCGACGGCCGGCAAGGTCGATCCGCGTGCGCGTTGTGGCTCGGAGGGGTAGTGTTCCCTTTCGTCGCTGCCCTCGTCACACTCCCCGGGCTTCACAGATCTCCCCTCTTTCTGTTCGAGTACAATGCACCGGTCAATGGCTTGTTGTTCTCGCCTGGACGGCTATTAGCGCGCCGCTAAAATCATCTCCGGCTAATGAATGGTGATAACGACCTGTTGAACGGCGAGCCGGTAGTGCAAGGACCCGCGACGTATAACAATGAATTCCCCGTAAAACATCAACCAAGCTAGTAGTGATGATGTTATCAATGCCATTTCTAATGTTGACTAGTTTAAAATGAACGAATAATTTGAAAATGAGACTGTTTATGGTTAATTGCTAAAACACACATAATTAAAGTCGAATCTTATAATAACTCAGCGTTGTAATACTTTTTCGGACTATTTGAATATAAGCGACATCGGAAAGTATTAACTGGCAGAAAATGATTGATGAATTCACAACACTCTATTGGATTTAATTGGCTATTGATCCGGTTGTGTATTAATTGTGTTGATAAATTAAAAGAGGTAAACAAAATATCTGTGTCGTGATAAAAAAAAAAGCTACCGATTGGATAAACTGATAAATTTGAAATATTTTATAAACTGAAAAGTACTACTTATTGTGCTTCTCAGATCAGCGCTTTATTTATAATTATATGTTTGTACATTTATTATGCGAGATAGTTTTATCTTTGATTCAGTTTTAACCTATCAAAATAGGGTATCAATCCTTAACATTTCGAAAACGCCTTACAGCTAATTGATTAATGGTAAGTAATAACTATTTATGGAATAATTCATACTCAAGAACAATATAACAACTATAGGTCAGTTTAACTGAAAATAGTATTTAAACACTTCTGCAGATTTTACTATGCGTTTCAAAAAATGTTTAATTAAATTGATATGAGTTAGACGTTATAAGGGGTATCTCACGCCCTTAATAGATCAGTGAGAAATATTGAAAAATATACATAAATTATTTTGAATCAACGACAGTAATTGAAAAATATTTAGTACACACCCATCCCTCATTCCTTTTTTTATGTTTAACAACAATAATGATTATGAAAACCGAACAAGAAAAATTAACATCAATGACACTCACTTGATATTTCTTTGCTATATTTGAGTTATCCTATGTGCACATATTCCAGCACAAACGATATAAAATCCTTTATCAAGAAGTAACACAAAAAAAAATGTTCACCAAACCGAACAACAAAATTATATGTTCGCACAAATAAAACTTTAAACAAATTTGAGTCGTAAATTAATGTTTTAAATACCAGATTATGTAAAAAATAAACACACGTTCAATTAAATGTATCAAAATATACTGAATAATTTTATCTTATTATTACAGAGTAACCGATCGGTGACGAGTCTCGCACGGTCACCTGTCTGCGCTAACACTGCGGATCAAAGCACTTCCTTAAACTTAACCTTCAAAACGGACCGACCTCTGGTGGAAGAAACGGTATCTCCTTCCAACCAAATGTGACCGGTTCTCGGCGGCGCAGCCCGAACGGTCGATGAACTCTGAAAGTAAACGCCACAGGTAGTCATCACGGCCAACACGTTAGCCAGCGGTGGGGGTGCTGGAACGGCCTATACACTATTATGCCTATGTGTGTACGCGTACGTAGTGTCTTCATAAGACCTGCCTTCAGCCGCGGTTAACGGTACAACACTGTGTATAGTTGTACGGGCAACCCTAAAAACGGTTCAGGGATGTGTCCGTGAGAAATTCGCGTAGGAGACTGCGGGTGGTGTTGTTTAGCGTGGGACAAATAACGAAAACGTACCACCTTTCAGTATCGGTACCGAAAACGTAAAGGTGTTATTTTCCATGTCCCGGCAGAAACCAGCTATTGAAACTGGTTTTCGGAAAAAAAGACTAATTGTACTCTTCCTCTCGGTGGACATTAGACAAAGCGTGCGTTATAATTGTTATTCGGCCAACAGAAATCAGGTTTCCGGGCGGAAAACCAAGTGTTGCGATATACAACATAAGTCAAAGTTCGACAAACCCATTACTGGAGGTCATTATCACTGTACGCAAAACCGTTTACACACACACTCAGTTTTAGGCAGGTTTCCCGGACTTTTGAAATTTACATTTATCGGCAATGCGTGAATCTATGATAATAGTCGAATGGTTTCTTCTCCTTTTAATTGCACCTATCGGCGACATCTCTGTCAAGTTCATCGACCCGTTTACCGGTTTGTCCGGCCATCGCTCCAGTAAACTATATTCCCGTCTTCGAGCCATTGACCGTTCCAGTGACCACCGCCGAGGCGAAAATTTCATCGCATTCTTCACTGTCTTCCTATTACACAACAAGATTTTGGCAAACGCTAAATTCACGCCAAATCGAATGTTTGTCGTGACGACTTTCATAGCGCTACTTTACAGAACAAAACATTCGACTTGGACCCTCATAGCGAATACCTTGATGCAATTTGGAATTCTTCGCCGTTTTAATTGGCGTATAGGGCAGTGACTTTAACGATGGTCAAACGTTCAGTGGCCTCTATCAAAGAAGCCTTGGTAAGGGGCGCGGTTGTATGGTGTTATAGATTTGTCAAGGCGACCGCCGGCGTACGGGCGGCGTTACGACGGCGTTTAAGTAAAAGTCAAAAAGAACGTGACTAAAACGTGTACGCATACAGGAAACCGTACACCGTAACATGCGGTTAGTGAGAGGATGAACTTGGTCATCGGCGGCCGTTGACCTAGCTAACGACCGTGCGCATGCGTGTTACCAACATCACCACCGTCGGTGGATCAGAAAGTAGATCAAAAAGTCAACTCATCTGACGTCACGGGTGCCAGCAGAAATCGCTTTTAATTCATTTACCTCCATCGTTGGGATAACCCGTGACGGCAGGTTTCTTCGCAACGCCCAACTGTCGTCCAATTTTCCCATGGTTTTTGCCAATCTCTTACCTCGAGGATTGAAAGGTCGAGTACCGTTTTTAAACCGTCTCTGATTTCGGGCTGAGTATTGGACTATATGCACTAAAGGAAAACGCATTACACCGGCCGCCACCGGAGATGAGGGAGCTGTTCTGACTGACAGGTGTTGTTCAACGTGATCGTTGATGCGATACGGTCCCTATTATATATCTTCTGTATATAACCGGTAAAACTCCGCATCGTGTGTTCTATTATAATATTGTAAAATGTTTCGGCACAAGATGCGAAATGTCTAATGCATCAAAAGAGGACGGGCGATGATAAATTTCGCAGCATCACTGCGGCCAAGGTCGTGTCATGACGGACGCGCAGTTCACCGAACTCGACTCCGTCCACATCTCAACGGTCGTAGTGTGTGTGTACTTAAGATTCGCATTATTTGAGCGACTGTTTTTTTATCGTCGAATCTGCGTTATTTTTTAAACACCGCACACAATTGGTATTATGATAATGCACAGTTTTTTTTTTTATTTTTATTATGTTGTTGTTGTTTAGAATCGCAGATGATTCATCGGCGAATGGCCATCAGACTCACGATTCGAATAACAAACCCGTATTTAAATTGATATTGTAATCATATAGTGATATATATATATATATATTATTTCAATGACGACAGTGAGCGCACAACAATAACGGCCGAGGCTGAGACGATGGCCGTGGTTAGGAACGTAAAGTTGAACTACGGTCGTTGACTCGGACGACATAACGGATTCCAACATTCCTGGCCGGTACATATACATCGGAGCTACCACAGCTCGGAATCAACTGACGCCGGCAGACTGTACACGAACGACTCCTATGTATTTTTCGTTACAATTATCTCGTCATATTGTAAAGCGTCTAGATATATTCATTTGATAGCCATCGAGTGCACGTTCATGTGTATACGCACAGTTTGTTGTTTGGACGAAAGCAAGAGCGGTTTCATTATCGAAAATAATTTTCCTCTTATTCGGGAGACTAGTTGAAGCATTTCAACGGAAATAATCATTTTTTTGCATATCTCATTGTAAAAATTAGTAACAGTGTTCTCAAATACATACCGTTAAGTCCAAGTTAAATAGCTACCTCAGTAAATCTCGAAAAACCCATAAGTTACATCACATGTTTACAATTTTATCATAACCGTTAGAACGCGACAAAGTTCTTTCAAACATTTCTTGATAAAATTTTACCATAGACAATCGATAAAAATTGTCTTGAAATATGACTATAGAAATCAAATTTAAACTTTGATTAAAATTTTCATGATTTTTTTTGAAATCCTTTACAACTACTAATACACTTAAACTAAGATAAATTACAGATAAATTTTTATCTGATAATTAGATAACAATCTTATAATTAGATTTTAGAAGTTATTGGGTACAGCGTCTAGAAAATTTTAAAAATCTATATTGTTAATGTTTATTTTACATTATATAATGTAATATGTGAATATTTGTTAGTTTTACTCAAGAATGACAATTAATTAAGAACTCTTGTATCTACGCTAAACCTTAATAGTGAAACTCATGACTCAAGTATGACAATCGTTTACGCAATAGAATTTACTGATAAATATGCTTAAAATATAATATTTGATTAAACTGTTGACCATTCTAATCACTATAAATTACACGCTAGATTAAAAATATATCGTTTTATAGATTTACAATAAAATATATATTTAAAGAATTTTGAAGTTTATATAAACTAAAAAAATATCAAATATATCTAATGTAGTGGAATAGTCAAAAATAATCACAAGAGTTACACAAGCAAACACAATTTATTCTAAAAATTAAAATTTGTAATCGACTGTCATTAGACTTATAAACCATTAGCATTCAACAAAATATATCTAATCCATTCGTGTTTCAAAATTTCACATTTTTTTTAGTTATAAAAAAATTACATCTGCTACGTACTTATTGAATAAATAAAATTGTCAATGTTATGCAATCAAAAAAAATCAATCCTCTTAATTGTAAAACGACTCAAAATGGATTTTTTTTTAACGATGAAAACTAGTTTCTTAAATTAGATAATTTTTGTTTTTAAATACATTTTTATTATGTAACGAATTAATAATTTATTAATTCAAATAAAATTTACATTACCTTCTTGGCTTTAATAAAACCATGTATAAAGTAATTGGTAAATATTTTAAGATGATAAGGACAATTGGTAATACTGCATATATGAAATACTCAAAAAACTGAGTGTTGGCAAAATAAACAATATAAAATATACATGTATTACTTTATAAAATAAATATGTGTTTTAAACAAATGCATAATGTCAATTACATCACACTCTAATATGTCTATTAACAATTCCAAAATGAAATGGATACGTAAAGAATATTCTTTGAAATATCAATACAGCAGATAAATTTTAAACACAGAAAGGTCAGAATAAAGGGGGTAAAGGATATTGGTTTCTAAGATCTCCAGATTTTATGGTCCAAATCAGTTATGACCAACTTGAACATTAAGACACTGCATTATTTTCTCATTATTATTTTTTTTTAATTTAAAATTTAAGAAAATGTTTATCAATCAGTTTGAATTTTACCAATAAATATTATTTAAAATACGTTTTACTTTCAGTCTCCTTATTATTATTTTAATATGAAATATTATATAAAATTATTCACATAACATAGAAAATGAAGTGGTCCAAGTGATTTTACCTCAAAAACAAAAAGAAATTATAATATGTTTATAAATTAAAACTTCAAAAATTAAGTAAATAGTTATATTATTTTATAAAAATATTTACTAAACTAATGGAAATATTATTCGTCACCCTCAAATTTTCGTAAAAATTGTAATTATAAAGATACCCTTACGGAGGAGAAGCCTATCATGTAAAAAATTTCCCGGCGCCCCTGAGAAGCAGCGACCATAAATATTATTTTGGTGTATAAATAATATACATAATGAATTATTCAATTTTAAAAGTTTGAAGAATCGTTTCAAGTCTGATATCTCATGCAATGTCATGCTTATTTTGAGTAAATCATTAACTAAATTATTATTTTAAGACTTGTTAATACTATGAATTAAAATATAATACTACCACAATAACATATTTTTGGTGTAACACTATGGTGTTGTTAGTATGTTAGCAAATTGCAATTTTTCTTGAATTTTAAGTAGAAAAATATATTTTCAAGATTGGTTTTAAAAACTATTGGGCGCAGAAATTAATGCATTTAATTAGATTATTGTATACAAAATTATTTCATGGCAATATACTAAGAAACGCAATAAAATCATTAAATTTTTTCCCAGTCTCATGCGCTTTGGAGGATAAAACGAAATCGGTAGTAGAATATGCGCAGACAATAGTAATCGTTGCGATAGAGAAGAAAAAATGTATGTCAGTGTGTTAGATTCCTATACAATATCACTAACCGACGACAAAAGCAATTATTGTCACTTTTGCTTGCAATTCCATAGTCG